AAGGGGTAATATGTACACAAAGTCCTGTGTACGCTGCTGCCAGATTTGTGCCGAGTGAGTTGGAGGAACCTTTCGGAAGAGAAAATGTAGAACTCTTTTCTACGTGTGTCGTTGATTACAGGTGGGAGAGAGACGTTCCCAGTATCCAAGTGAAAAAAAAAAAATTGAATTGGGAAAGTAGGTATAGTGTTAAAGTGTGGAATGTATGTTATGTATACCTTATGTATGTATACGACGCCCAACGAGGCGGAGGCAGAGAGGGCTTGGGATACTTTTCCTTCCCTCCCGACACCAATCCTTCGCCTTGTACTAGCTTTATGCAGTGTGTATATGTGTGCGTGTTGGAGGCGCCATATAAACTCTCCCTCAGGTTTACACTTTTTGTGTGTGTCTTTTTGGTGGAGGCTGAGTTGACAATTCTGGAAAAAAAGGCCCAGTCTAGCCCACCCACCTATTCTATTCATTGTTCTACCTTGGGTTTTCAAGCATTAGACTGAATTCTTTTGAATCAGTTGGGAACTCTTCTGTTTCTCTCTCTATATACATATATATATATATATATACATACATACATACACTGCTCACTCTCACGATAGATAGATATCGAGTGAGTAGCATGTAGCTAGAGATATCCCTCTCAAGGAAGTCCAACGCATATATACAGTATAGTACAATACACCCGCCATCAAATCGACCTCGATTGTTGATGAACTTTTCGAGTTTGATTAAATACATTACTTTTGCGGTCTTATTTCACACAAAGTCGGAAGTGGTGGAGAGTCCAGGAGATGGTCGCCAGGGTTCCATGAATCAAAACAACAAGCGATTCGTCCTGCTGCATTCAGCGAGTGGTAGGTAGTCAGACGTGCTCCGTGCTGTTCCGTCCGAGTATCGATATCCATCCTCTCCTCATTCTCACAACCTCATCCGCGCAGCAGGCGCAACCCTCGCAATCACCTCTTCCCTCCCATACGACTCATCCGAACCCTGCGTTCGGGTCCGCGCCCTCGCCAACGAATCAACACTCTCCTTCCTCCTCCGCACATTCTTGCACGCCCCATAGATACTCGGCGCATTGGCCACAAAGGTCGCCGTCACCACTTGTATACTCGCCCAGAATGACCGGGCCCGCTGCGCGGAACCGTCTCGATGGATGAAATGCAAGCGGAATCCAATAACGATCAGACTGAAGAACCCCAGAGTATAGAGCAATCCCAGTTGTAAATTTCGAGGGAATTGTCGGATTTGGGAGCGGAGGATTGGGGCGGAGATGACGAGGAGGAGGCTGTCGATGATGGCGATGGAGATGCATTGCGTGAAGAGTTGACCGTAGGCTTTGGTGCAGGTGTGAGGTTGGGAGGCGTCGTCCATGGTCCAGTAGAGGCGAATGGGGCGACATTCGAGGAAAGTGACGAGGACGACGGTGATGTAGGTGCATGCCATGAAGATCCAGCAGGATTTGATGATTCGTGCGATCCACGTCATGTGGTCGAGCATGTCGCGGTAGAAGACGAGGAGGAGGGTACATTGTAGCCAGTAAAAGGTTGTGACCAGAATACGCGTGATGAGCGTTACTATACTGCCGGTGCGGAGATTCGTCGAGTCTTGCTGGGAGGTCCGAATGGTTTTGTCGCGGAGTACCACGGTGTTGCAAATGATGCGTGCAATGAGGACGACAATCGACATGATGACCAAGTAAGCGGAGAGATCAAGACGACTGTGCTGCCATCGATGGCCGACCAGTCTGGCGGTGAGGATGGCAAGGGCTAGGGAGCCGCATATCCAATTCGCTAGGCTCGCGTCGGCTTCCGAGACGGCGTATGAGAACGCAGTTGACATGGCATCGTCGGGGTGGGAAGTTTCATTGGAAGGCGTGGTGGCCAGAGGGGGACCCGGCCTCGTGGTTGATCAAAGCCCCACAGAGTGCGAGGGAGGTGGGTGAATAAAGAGATGTGGTGGATGGGGGCAATCGCACGTGGAAAAGCGGACAAAGAAGAAAGAGGAGAGAGAGAGAGAGGTGTGATGAAAGGTTGAAAGCGTTGCTCGCGTGGCCCCAAGGTTGTTAAGTTAGTTGGTTGGATCGGACGGACTATTTTAGCAAACGACGGAGAGGAACGAAGGAGTAGTCCGCACGGATTGCAGGAAGCGGAAGCGGAAGCGGGGGAATAAGGCAAGGCGATGCAAGGCCAGGCTGAGGCGGGCGTCGAGACAAGCGCTTTTGGGGCCATTCGGTTGATGATCGGAGTCGGTGTGCTGAAATTACTGCACTGCATTGTCGTGCACCGCCATTTTTCGCCATGAGATGGAAATAATGTTCATTTTGACAAAGACAAAGAAAATGGATGACCTTGCAGCTGAGTGTGTGATGATGGTCCTTTGGCTGGATGATTGATTTGTCTTGAAATGATGACGAGGTTGCCCGCCGGCCCCCTGTTCGCGCTGGAGGATGCTGTTGGCGGAATAGTCGGAAGGACATGTTGACCTACCGTGAAGGAAGATATGATGCATGCATGCTTGTTGTAATGAAATGTCCGGTATGAGAGTACTGTATCGACGGCGTCGATGTTGATGTGTTGCTCATCAAAGGCAGAAAGGGCGTCAAAAGTGAGGTACATTGGATGTACATGACGATCGTCGATCGACACGATGACGACGATCCCGACAAGATCTCGGAGTTCAGAGCGGTTAGAACGACAGAATACGATGACAATACGAAGCAAAGGTCGGTCGGTAATTGAAATTGAAGAATAGATATCGTCGATCTGATGATACCACCACTCCTTGAATCCTCCAACATATAACGGAGTATCATCCTCCATTATTCCGATGCAACATCACATGCACCAATCGAGATCATTAACATCAACAATGCTCCGTCTGTCACATCCACATTCATGTCTATTCCCATCTCMATCATCACCATCACCATCATCATCACCATCAATTCTCCCCACTACAAGTCTCATTCAAACAACTCTGCCACGCACTCAACGTATGATGCCAATCCACCGCATCCACATTCCTCCCCACGCCCCGATCATTCTTCAAAAAGCAATTGCCTCCAAATAAATCAATCGGAGCCGTGAGATTCGCATAATAGCTAATCGCCCTGCACGCCGGAACATTCCCCTCGGAATTGTACTCGTCACAAGCATCCAGACACGCTTCCACGCTGTACACGGTATTCTTCCCGCCGAGATTCTTCATCGTGACGTTGTTGGTGTCGGAGTAGTACGAGTCCGCGGCGGCCGGGTACATGGTATAGCATTCTTGAATGTACGGTGTCCCCGAGGAAGAGGTCGTCGTTTCGCCTCCCGAGCAGGAGAATTGCGCCACGCCTGTGCTGCCGGAGGTCACTGCAGAGGTGGTCGCGGTTGCGGTTGCGGTGGGAGAGGTGGAGGATGTTGCGTTTCTGGGCATGTGTGGGTTAGGAAGAGGCTCGGGAAAAGGTGTGTCATCTGCCTWCATGTACTCACGTTGCTGATGCTGCGGATTCCTCACTCTGGCCATTCCGTTTATCCTCTGCTTCCTGAGAACCCATTCCCACTCCCACTCCCACCCCGACTCCTATCGCGACCACAACAGCCGCGAACATCAACCAGAGGTTCCGTTTTCGTCGCCAGCGGCTCGCTGGTTTGCGGGCGGGTGTTTCTTCCTCGGCCTGGGCATTATGCAATGGCAGCGTGTCGTTCCCATCGGAATAACTCCCACCTCCACTGGCCGCCGAGCTCGAACCCTTGACATCCGGAGGGGATCTCGAGCTCGTGGGTCTCAGAACTTCTGGAGAATCCGTGTAATTCGGTACGTGAATCAAATCGCTCGGTGGTACCACTTCTGGCGCATTTTGTGCTCCCTTGTTGGGATACATGACGACCAGGAATGCTGTCGGTTTCGCAAAGTAAAATCACAGTCACAGTCGCAAGTGTAGAAACGACGCAACCACTCCAAAGAAGAGTCCGCAAGAACGAACAAACAACAAGATCAGACAACGCAGGGCAAGATGTCTCACCGCAGGGGAAGAAAAAGCGCGCGCGCAAAAGGACGGGCAGTGCAGACGCAATAGTAAGGTAACTCCGTGGGTAGTTAGCAAGAATGGATGCCTCCTTCCAAAGCAAGACCACCTCTTTCTTACCTACACCCAGGGAATCGCATCCTTCGACCTGGGGCACTATCAGGAACCAACCAAACAACGTCGTACCCAAACGCCAACCCACCCTTCAGCCGCAGTTGCATCACTTTACATCCCTTGGCACATCTCATCATCAACCAACACACGTCGCTTGCGGGCGCGTGCAGAGCCAATCAAAGGCTGTGAAACGTGAAGAAAATACATTGCATTCCGCCCCACTGTTCTACGGCCATGTGGGCACTATTATGACACTGCCAAGTGCCAAGGGTTGGATTGGAGGCAGGGATTGAGATATGCGAGTTTTGTCTCTAGTTTTCGCTTGTGATGTTTCCTTCTACTGTGGTATCGTTGATGACAGTCGCGACATCTATTCGTCAAGAGAGAGAGAGAGAGAGAATGGTCTGGTCTGATCCGTACAAGAAATCAACAACAAGCAAAAAACCGCAAAAAGATTCCGTTATGTTTTTCCTTCCTCTCCACCAGACTTATTAGACTTCCTCTATAATTTACTCCCCCCCTTCTTCTTCTCATTAGCATCCCCATCCCCCTTCTTCTCATCCCCCGCAGCATCCCCACCATCAAAAAGAACAAAATACCCCTCCTGAAAACAACACGCAATCAACTCCCCACTGGGCGTAAAAATCCGACTCGAAATACCCCCTCGTCTAGCCCCCGTCCACGCACTCGTAACTTCCACATAACACAATTCACTCGCTTGAAAACCTTCATGAAGTCGGAAATGGATGTTGTGATTTAGAGATGTGAGGCGTTGGAAATCGGATTTTCTTGTAGGGGGGGTTGTGCTTGTTGTGGGGTTTTGTCCGATGGGTGGTTGGTTGGTGGTTAGGGAGTGGAGATGTGGGGGGCCGTCGAGGACGTGGTAGTCTGATAGGGCTATTAGGCCTAGGGCGTGGAGTTTTTGGTTGTTTTTGTTGTTGGAGTTGGTGTTGGTGTTATTGTTGGTAGGGGGGAAGGAGTTGAGGGAGGGGATTGTGCCGACTGATGTGTAGATTCCTTTTGAAGGTGACGGAGTTGAGGATGGATGAGGATCATTTGTTTGATGAGGAGGGAATACGACTCCTAAACGTTGGAATTGCATCCAGCGGTTTCCTTGCGATGATGAAGAAGAGGTCGAGGCTAGATCGTCGAGGGTTATGGAGGAGACTTTCAAATCTGTGGCTCGGGATACGGTGTGCTGCATGCTTGGACCATGAAGGGATTTAGGGCGGACGAAACTGTGATGTTGTTAAATGTCTTCCTTCTACAGATATTTATGTCTGCCAAAGGAAATGATTGATAGAGGTGACTAGGTTTTACTCACCTGCAAGTAACAAAACAAACAACCTTCCCCCCTTGCAAAACTTCCACAGCTCGCACAGCAAATCTCCCCCCATCACTCAATCGCTGCACTTTAAACCGTAAAGGAACTGTAGCATCCGGGCCAAGTAGGAAATGCGATTGTAAAGTATCAATAGCCCAATCATCTTCGAGAGTTTCGTATGCGGCTGCTGCGGCAAATGCCATGAGTACGCCGCCGGGTCTAAGAAGAAAAATCAGCTTTTGTGTTATTTGATCATATTGGGGGGTTGTTATTTTGGNGGGAACCAACACTATTGATCCATCAGGCCATGTCCAGGAGGGGTAAATTGATTCGAAAAAGTCCTGGTGGATTGTTGTTATTGTCAGGACCGATTGATTGATTGATCATATTGGATATTGGATGCAAGCAATCATGGGGGGATGGGGAATGAGTGTATGTACCTTGGACAATTGCTTGATTTTGAGACTCTGCTCAAAGGGGATTCCTGTCATGCTTTCCTTGGATTCAAGCTTTCACGGCACGTCCAGTATTCAATACGACCACCTGATAGTCCAATCTCCTCGTCAATCGAACAAATCCAGATGTTGATGTTGATTGTGCATTTGACCAAGGTTCACAAAAGCCCCGCTGTGCCGAGCCCAGCCATCCCGTTTCCCGAGGCACGTTTTGACTATGCTGTATATACGTTTTTCAGAGTGAACTGCAACATTAGGGTCCGCGGGGATCCGCATCTTCTTCAAAACAGCCTCTTATAGTAATTTGTATATAAAATAGTTTTTCTCTCGACTCCACCCCTAAAACACACGATTTTTTCCTAGTAGTAATTAGAAAGGACGATATTATCGAAATAGATAGAGTTACTACTATCGCCGGTACGGATGCGCCCTTAATACGAATACGGCGCGGTAATACGCCTACTCGTAAGGCGCGTCTATCTTAGAGGGCTCTTACTACTACTACCGCTACTACGGCTACTATCGCTCTACTACGGACTTAGAAGGCTAGTCTATCTACGGCTCCGAGGGCTAGTCTATCTACGGCTTCGAAGGCTCGTATTACTACCGCTCCGTAGACTCTAAAGGCTAGTCTATCTACGGTTAAGCGAAGTAAGTCGTCGATAAAGAAGCGGAAGGCGGATACGAGTAAGGGCCGTTTAAGAAAGTATATATCGCGTAAGGCTACTATAGTAGTATCTAAGGATAAAGGATTAGCGGAGCCGCTAGCTATTAATAAAACAGCGCTCTTTCTTACTACGAATAAGGATAAGGCTAAGGCTAAGAATAATAATAATAATAATAAGGATAAGGATAAGGTAGACTAGCCGTTCGAGTTTAGGTATACGTATAGCATCTTCTTCGAAAAGGAGCGGATTCGGTCCGCTATAGAGCCGGCTATATCCTTATACGAAGATAAAGTAGGTATAATCTTTACGTACTTTATATCGTAAAGTAGTAAGTACCTCTAAGAGGGCTTAGCTAAGCTAGATATAGAGCGATAGTTTAATAGGCATACTTAGATAGCTATTACTATCTAGATTAGTTATAGGAAATAACCGAAGGTAATATAGCTAACGTAGTTACTAGTAGATAAGGACTCCTATCGGTTAGCTCTAAGGCAGTTAGCTCTATAGAATATAGCCGGCTTTAAGGACCTTTACTTATATATTAGTAATACGTTTAAGCTCTTTAGGCCTATCGAGGATGCTATACCTATATCGTCTATACTACGCCCTACTAGAATATAGCGGCCTACTAGAACGTAGCGATAATCGATAACAAACCGGCAGTTAGTAGATATCCGTATTAAGCGTACTCGCCTTAAGAGCGCTAGCGATTATAAGATACGCATCTACGAGTACTAGGCCTATAAATAAGCTAAGTGTTCTAATTATAACTAATCTTACTAGTTCCCTCGTAGTTACGTATACGGAGAGGAACACGTTACGGAGCATTATCCTATTTATACGGAAGCTGCTCTTAAATAGGCTAAGGCTATTAAGATTAGCTATTAGAACTAAGCTCTTAATAAGCTAAGTTCGGAGGTACGCTTTATTAACTATACGGAGCCGCTAGCTCTTATTACTTTTAAGCTTGCTCGCTTTATAATAAAGGATAATAATAATATACCTCTAGGCTAGCGTAGGAAGTAACCGGACGGTAATAGTTATATATAGAACTTCTACCTTACGAACAGACGGATTAGTAATAAAGAGAAGTTACCGCTACTACTAGTAGCAGTTAATCTACCGTTAAGTTAAGTAAGGGCCCCTTTAATCGATCTAATAGATAAGCTTAATAACTGCTTTTACTAAATAGCGAACTAGTCGTACTAGTAGAAGTCGTATCGCTCTATCGACCTAGGGGCAATACTAGAGATGTTCGAAAGGAAGGACTTTAGTTTAGATATAGTTATAAAGGTAGATATAGCTAGTTAGCTTACGTATAGTTTTAGAGAAGGACAGCGCTCGTTCTTAAGGACCTATATACGTAAGTAGTAGCGGTTAGGTAGGCCTAGTATTAATATAGCTAGCAACTCTAGTCGAGGTACTATAACTTCTTAAGTAGCGGACCGAATCCTGCTATCTTTAGTCGAGCTTCTTTATAAGAATATGTTATATATAATAGGAATTAAACATATATCGTAGCGTGTACGTAGTAGTAGTAGTCAGAAAGGGGGGAGTAAAATACGTAGTTAAAGATTCGGAAAGTTCCTAAATCCTCCGAATTCTTAATGCTCTAGCTATTATAAGCTTAGTATATTCGCGTATTTATCGTAAGGCATATATACTACTAAACTCGGTTAATAATAGTTTAAATTGCTCCTTATAATAAGCCTAGTTCGTAAGTATTTATCTCGTAAATTTAGAGCGTACGGCTTACGCGCATCTAGTGTATATATATTACTAAGTCTCTAAAGGTAGAGGAATTAGGGTCTAATGCTAGTATACTTAGTATTTTGGAACCCTAGCTTTATAGCCTTACTTTTATCTTAACTCTTAATCTATTAATAATACCGGCCTTATAACAAGTACGGATAGGGCGTACGTCCCTTTTAAGCTATATATATAAAGGATTTACCTGCCGAGTATTATACGTCGTCTATAGTAGTATACATATTAGAAGAAAACGAGAAAATTAGACTCTAACTATAATACTAGCCTAATTTAGACGATAGTTAGTAGCTCTACTATCCTCGTAAACGAGCACGTATTAATTTATTACCGCTACTACTATCCTTACCGCCGATATTATAGCTACCCTAACTACCCTCGACTCCTCTACTAGCTCCGCTAGCTCTAGAGGCTCTACTAGCTCCGCTAGCTTCGCTAGTATAGTAACACGCGGTCGAAGAGATCTTTATAGCGATAGGAAGGATAGTAATACGCCTTAATAGGATAGAACTACGGATTATAGCTATTAAGGAGATAGTAGAAGCGGCTATAGATATATTACTAAGTTAAGCTAACTAGTAATAAGGATAATTAAGGGCAATTAATAAGAAGGCTGCTTTAATAGCTATAATCGACTTAACTACTTAGTTATAATAATAGCTAATATACGTAAACTGCGTAGCGGTAGTATCCGTATCTATATAGTACTCGTTTATCGACTACTTAATAAAGTGTAGATAGCTTTCGAAACTATCCGCTTCCTTAATATATCTACGGATAAAGGCCTTTAATACTAAGAACGACTGTTCGATAGGGTTATAATCCGGAGAGTAAGGAGGTAGATATTACAACTTAATACTAGTCTTAATACATAGCCGCTTAATACGGATATCGTAGTAAGTAGATACGTTATCTATTACTAGCAACTAACCTAGTAATAATTAAGGAATTACCGTATCCTCTAGCTAGTTATAAAGCATATCTATATTAATACTACCTTAGTAGATTTCGGTTCCTTCTAAATATCCTTTACTTATTATCGCTAGTAATACGCTCTACCGTATACTACGGTCTTATAGCTAGCTATCTATATAGTTAACGCCTTTCTTAGACTAACCGTACTTACGCTAGCCGTACCGTTCGTTCTATACGCTCTTATCTACGTAGCAAATGCGGTTAGCTAGCTACTTATTACGCTTGTTACGCTAGCTTACGCGTAGTTCTTCGTTTTATTTACGAAGGCGTTTCTTCGCTACCTTACGTAACTAGTAAGAACGATAGATAGCTCCGTAGATCGTTATAATTAAGGCCTATACGCTATAGTAATCGTATAGGTACTACTATATCTTATCTAGATAGGCTATTAGCTATTCCTTTAGCTAATCTAGGAGGTATTAGATTATAAAAGGCGATAGTAATAGCGCTAGACCGAAGGTAATACCTTTTAGTAGATAGGGCTAGTTAAATAGGTCTAAGTTAGTAGTAATACGCTATACGGTTATGCGATTAATCTTAAGGGCGTCTATAATTATATACGGCCCTTACTCTAACTCTCTAAGGCGGCGGACTACTTTTTCTAGCTTCGGTCTAGGTAATCTATTAACTATTACGATAATTTTAAGCTACCGGCGGAGTAATATAACGGTATAGTGGATTTATAGTGAATTAATTAAGTATATAGTGTGGATATGCATAAAGTGAGAAGAACCTCCGGCTAGCTCCGCATGTTGCAGTTCACCCTTAAAAGGGTGTACACCCAATACATAAAACCACCTTTGATTACATTATTACTTCCTTCACCAGATCTATATTTCATCAACAACCCACCGCCCACGCATAGCACTCACCAATCCCACGCCCCCTGCCGCAACGCTACCAAAGCAAAATGCGCCCCAACCGTACTCCTCGCCTTATTCGCAATCCACTTCCCCCTCTCATCCCCTTCAACAAGATACTTCGTCCCAAAAGGAACACTATTCATCCCATTCCCCAAAAACTCCCACGTACTCTGCACAATCTTACCTTGTAATTCCGTGGAGCTCACACTAGCGATCATGAAATTCCAATCCGTTAACGCCCAATCGACACCGCGATCAGAGACGGGTCCCGCGAACGCGAGGCCTGCGTCTTGGATCTGTGAGAGATACCAGTCGCTTTGGAGATCCCAGGCTGTTTGGGGGAAAGTGGTGAGGTTTAAGAGGACGTCGGAGTAGCTGGCGAATAGCACGTTCCATGTCTCCGAGCCGCCGTAGTTGTAAGTGAAGTGCGCGCTTTCGTTGACGGTAGCACCATTCAGTCCTAGTGCGTCGTTGTATATTGTTTTTGCGAAAGAATGTGCAGTATCTGCGTAGCTGGTATTTTGAAGGAGTTTGCTGGCGGCGTTCAATCCAATGGCAGATTGAATCGCAAGAGCTGTTTGGTTTGGTGTAGCGGGTATGGCGTCGACGCTGATGAGCTGACTGGAAGGATAGAGAGAATTTTCGACGAGGTATTCCGCCCAGCCCGGTAAGAGGTGGGCATATTCAGCTGTTAGAGAAGTGTCATTTGAGAAGAGCTGGTAGGTGTAGAGTAGTATGAACATCGATGAAGTTTCGAAGAGTGGCATTGATTCCTCGTTGCCATCATCGTGGCCTGTGGCGTTTGGATAGTCTTTTTYCCATTAGCTGACTGAGGCGGTCCCCTAATGGATCCATCTGGATACTCACGTGTGCCAATGTCGTGAATAACGTATTTCTTCGGCCACCTTCCACACGCAAGGTACGATAGTACAGGCTGGAGCTGCCACTTGATCCATTCGGGATTCAAGCTGATGAAGATCGGCCAAGTCTGGAATATCAGGTCTATAGTGTTAGTGTTGCCATCGGAGGAGATTTCCTTGAGAAAAGCCCACGGAGCTGCAGTTCGGTCGTTATCAGGAACCTGTAATGTCAATCAGTTGTCAAGTTTGGTGTTTCGAAATCCAGTAGTAGTACCGTCAACTCATAAGCAGCAAACGTCTGCCTCACACTGGCTTCCAAGATATCCGCATACTGGCTGCCAAAATCGCCCGAGACGGATTCCGCTCGAGACCGCACGGTGCTGTCAAATGCGAGAGATGCAGCATAGGCGTTGTCATAGTTGCCTATGAAAAAGTCGAAAGCGTCTGGAATCTCCGGCCACAGAGCGCGATGTACTCCTGTCTGCACCTCGCCCAGATAATCGATGGCTGAATCTCGTTGAAAGCCCACGGCAAAGGTAACGCACGCACCGTCACTATCCACATCACCCAAATCTTTGGAAATGGCGGCCAAATTCGTTCCAGATGCTGTCGAGTTCACAGATGCAAGATTACCGTGATTCAGAAATGCTTTATACACTGTGTTGGCAGCATTGGCAGCATGTGTGATATTTGCATCTGCGGAAGTTCCAAACACTACAGTGCCCCAAGTCGCTTGATCGTCGATCTCGGTGAAGGGTGTCTCGTTTGGGTTGTGAAGTTGGAAGAAGCCTGTCTTGCATGTGGTCGCATAGTTGATATCTGACTGGCCATTTTGCGCTGTCCACGTCTGATCGATAGCCGAGAATATCTGAATTCGACGTGGACTTGAGCTTGTAGCATTGACGGTCAAATAGGAGTACGGCAACGACTGGAGCGAGTAGTTCTTGGGATATACCGGCGAGAAAAAGTCCAGTGTAAAGTTGACACCGTCCGCAGCCAGCTTGAACAAGGTACGAGTGGAGCTGAAACTGACATTCACCGTCATGGCAGCACTAATACCACCCTGACCACCCGTCAGTCCCGCCGGCGAATTGAGAAGAGCGTACGTCTTGCCATCAATTCGAGCCAAAATTGGCCATGTCAGGTCTTGGCCGTTCCAGAATTGCGGTTGCGCGGTGGCCACATTGTCGATTCCAGTACTCGGAAGCCAGGTGGAGAGATAGGGCGACTTGACCGCTAGCGGGTAGGAAGGMAGGTTGATTTTGCTTGCGACTGTGGTATGTGGGGAGAAAAGAGCGATGATGAATCCCAAAATTTGATGGAAGTGCATGGTCAAGGTCGATGACAATTCAACGAAAGACAGTCTGCTCAAGTCCGTGCAAGCATTGGGGATGCGGCAGCCAAGATACACGAGCGCGCCAGCAAGAAAGAGTACGGCAAGTAAAAGATTAGTTTTGCATCTTGTGCTGCAAGAACGTGATCTCCGTTGGGGTATTCTTGCGTGTGAGGAGGATGACAAGAGAGGTGTGCGAGCGGTGCTGACCATTTTCAAGAATCGTGCTTTGTGATTGGTAGAATTTCATGCAGATGAGAGGGAGCATAAAAGTGTACAGCATGATCGACAAGGGAGGCATGAGAAGATTGATGTGATGAAGACGGGAACGAATGGAAGGTACCCCGCCTGCTGCACGGGTGGGTGGAGAGTGCGAACGGGGAGGTCCTCTTACTATAGTACCATGGAGATACGACATATCTTCTGACCACGCATATGCTGCATCGTGCGTGGCATATGTTGTAGTGCTTACTACCACGATATGGAGGGAACGGAAGGAAAGGAAATGAAACCTGGCGAAATCGAGAGGTTTTCTTCGCCGGCAACAACCGCGGCATCCTTGACAAGTCACAACGTCTTTCTTACCCCTTCCCCTCCTCCTTCTCGTCGACAAGGCACACATCCTTATCTTCAGTGTTAGGTACCCCTCAACGCTTGGCAGATACGTCGTGCAGTCACTCTACGCTTTGGTCCAACCATCCCCTTCGTTGCAGAATCCAGGGAGCCCACTCTCTAACTTTCGACTGACAGAGATATGCTGCAGAGCACTATCACGCCACGCAAGACCGAAAGTCCCATGGACTATGATGAAAACATGCTGCCATGTTGGAGCTTACCGACATCTTGATCGACTCCTCGTTGGTGGCTTCGATCTCCGCTCTGCGATTCCGACAAGATTCCGCGCCCTCTTTACCCGTGTGGAATTCCTTCCAAAAGTCCTCCACACTCGATGATTACTACTTCAAAGCCACCATTCGCGTTCTGCATACTTCCCAACCCTCGCTCCCTCCATCCACCACGATGTTTCAAACGGTCTGTAGCTCTCAAACAGCTCAGAGTCTTTCTCCATTCTCTCTGCGTCAAACACGCTTTCTCTAATCGTTTCGCCRAATTCATCCGTCCAGAAGATTCTATCGTCGATACGGAAAACACCACTGACCCAAAGAGTCTGATCTGGCTCCACAACACCCTCTATGCTGTCCATCCCGGCAATACTAGCGCTTCTCGCCTCCGCCACATCATCTGGATCGTCATATGCAGTCATCGAGTACACCAGCTCAGGCAGTGTATCAAAAGGACCTTCTCCGTCATCATACAGACAAACAAGCCATGGATTCTCCTCATTCGACCAATACTCAGGCCAGTCATCGCTCTTCTCCAGGGCGCTCTTGTCGACCGTCATCAAAAACTCTCGCCAAGCCATCTCCAGTATTCATCCAGAAAGTGACATCCCGTACTTCCCGCGTTCGACACTCCAGAATCTCCTTTTCCGCTTCTGTGAATTCCGCATACTCATATCGTTCAGCAGCTCCATGCCACTCCCACCTCCTTCGCATACCAAGCTTGATGAACTCTCGAAAGATGATCCGGCGTCGCTCAGTGGGACTGCCTGCATAGTTGTTCCATTGACGGATTAGGTAGAGATCAGACGCTCTGACTCTCATGAAATTGAAATCCATCGCTCTAGGCGAGAATGAGGTAGTAGTTGGCTGTAGGAGTAAGACTCATAGTAGTAGAGAGCAAATGTACACCTTTTAACCGCGAGAAGGATCGGCGAAGGGCTAGTGTGGGATAGTTTGAAGGATGAAGAGTCATACATAATTTGCAGCACATTTTCGCACAAGTATGGAGCACTCATTTTCATCCAGATCCTATTTTCATCCCCCTCTCCTTTCTCCACAAATCAAGCATTGSCCAAACCAAATCTCTCCCAAAGCCAAATGTACTTTTCCCACTGCCTCCACACATCGATTCAAGGCCTTCGCCTTTGCTTGTCTATTCACCACCACCAGTCTCCTCGGGACCAGTTCTATCCCGCTTCAACACATAGGCAAGAATACTCTCATGGATCCGTAAGGATTCACATAACCTGGAATCATACACTCCTTTGATCATTTGGGGATCGACCGCACACTGTCTGTGCACGTTTTCCAACATCGAGCTACATTACCCATCACCACTTAACCTCCATCATGATCAACCCCGCCACATATTTCGTCCTGTATGTCCCGCCGTAGCTCGGTGGTGCTTGCTAGTAAAGCAAGTCTTCATAGCATAATGTTACTCCTTACGAGCGTGGCCGTAACATCATTTTCGTGGTGTTTCAGTCTTTACGAGCATTCATACGTCCCTTAACCAACAATTCGGAAGGGGGAGCTTGATTCGACACATCAAGGTCGTCAGGAGAGTCGCCTACACGATCGTCTTCCGTCCCGGCGCCTAGGGATATAGAGACCTCTCGATAGATTAGATATGATAAGTTACCAGGCTACGTCTACATAATCGCCTGAATGATCTGATTAAGAAGCATAGCGGATAATCGATCCCACTCTGAATGGGCTGAGGTGGTTATCTAGCAAGCAAAACCCTCCACCCTTCATCCCAAAAGCTTTATAAATTAAAAAAAACTTCACCGGACACATACGACCATAGAAACATGCAAGCAAGCCATCCCGTCCGCTCTGGCCTATTGAACCATGTTATCGTTTGACTAGTACTCGGGTAGGTGACTACCGGGGAATCCCAAATGTTGTATGTTTTTTGTTTTTGTCGACGGACAGAATTTTTTTTCATCTTCTTCGGCTTCATTTCGGTTAGGGGAGAGCTTTTGCCGAGACGTTACATAGCTTTCCTCTTCTTATAAGGCCTGTGGATTTTTAAATGATGGCTTGAGTAATAAGTGGATTGTGAGATTAATTCGAGGATATTTGGACTTTTATTTACTTTTTGGAGCGCGGGGGACGGAGCTCTAGATCTAACACTTCGACAATTCGAATTCGCGAGACCTTAGTTATCTATTTATCTACTATTAAGCGCACGAACAGTAGCGAATAGCTATTTATTTCCTCCTTCCTTAAGTCCTATAGCCTTAACGTCCGTAATAGCCTCGCGCGAGCCTAGCTAAATTAAGTTAACTACTATAGTAATATCGGCGATAATAGTGTTACGCTTACTAACTAACTAACTAGCGCAGCTATATAGCATATAGCCTTTCTATATCTATAACCTTCGCCTTTAGCGTACTAATAGTAGTTCCTTACTTCTTAAAGTTACGCTCTAATCTCTTAATCTTCYGTATTATACGCTATCTATTCTCCTTAAGCTCCGTAATTATATAAGTAGCGCTAGTAAGCTTCTCTTCGGCAATAGCGAGTTTGTCTTTAGTAGTAAAAACGACCTAAGTAACAAAGGACGCTTTATAGCTAGCCTTACTAAGTACCTTATAGTAGGCGTAGGCTTCCGTCTTATTAGCGAAAACTTTATACTAATTACCTAAATTACCCTCGCGATTAYACCTAAAACTATTAGTTTTAGAGCGAATAYCTTAACGAGTAACTACGAGTATAACGGTAGGATTCTTACTATTTATARGGTAATAGAGYAACTATTCCCTTATTAGTCTTAATAATACKACYRGCGGCGTTATATTTACGGAGGTTAGYRCGCGTAGTAGACTTTTTCTTCTTATCGTTACTATCGGYRTYRTTAAGCTAAATATCCTACTAYRACTATATCGCGGACTAAAATTAGCTAGCTATTATARGGCGGCGCTACGCGGAAGTTATAGCGTCGTCGGYRGAAGGAGTAGAGGAGCTAGCATTATCGCTAGAAGTAGTCGCTATTATAGTAGTAGTAGTAATAGTAATAATAGTAGAGGTAGAGGTAGCGGTAGTAATAAGGAAGTAATAGTAGGAAGTAGTAAGGTAAGAATAAGAATAAGAAAGAGCGGGGGAGCGGGGTAGCGGTAGTAACCGTATACATTAAATAAGTAGTAAACGAAATAAGATAAAGTAAGGCTAAATTATTAGATATAGCGAGTATATCTACGAGTGCTCGACGAACAGCATTTCCTATTATCTATATATTCGTATACTCGAACACCTTATCTATAAACTCTTAGTAAGGGCCTAATCTATTAAACTTATTATTAAACTCGTTCTTAATTATTATAGCTAGCTCTATCTTAGGATCTATCGCTAGCCCCTTAAAGAAAAGCTTATTTGCCTATTCGTAGACCTATTTGTTACGTAGATTAGCCCTCTAATACCTCTATATAAGAGGCTTATTATACTCCTATAGTATATTGCTACCGTGCTATCGGAGGTGCCGCCGTATCTCGCTACGTAGATAAAGATACGCCTATAGATAGATTCGATTTTGCTTATTATCTACTACTCTACTATTAATTAGAAGCGGCTATTAAGAGTATACTTCTTTATACTATCGAAGAGTTAGTAATAGTAGGAACTTATCTAGTATAAACCCTTAAGCCTTAATGTCCTCGTCTATAGCGGCTATAGACTACTATAGTATAGGGAGCCCCTATTCTTCGTTACTATCCTTAGGGTAGTAATACAGCATAAACGGTATACTACTAATAACGTAAGCCCTTTTCTTCTACTTCCGGATGCGGTAGTTATTCTAAAGGAATATAAAATCTAGTACCTCCTTACGGATAATAGGCATATATACGAAGAGTATTATAATACGGTCGGCCTTCTAGTCCTTTATAAATAAGCCCTAACTATGCAGATTAAGGAAGTATTTACGCTAACGAGCTATAAATAAGAATTACTATCTCTACTATGCTTTAATTCGTACGTTTATCTTACTTATACTATATCGAAAATAGTCCTTAAATGTTAGGGGCTATTTTATAGTTAGTATTCGCTAGCGCTCGTGCTAGCGTTCGTACCTTAGGGCCCTTATACTACTTACGCCGGAGTGTTAGATAGGTATCTATAATATAGCATGTCTCTACGCCTCGATCTATAGTAAGGATATATAGCCTATAATATTAATTATAGGTACTCGTAGCTACTCGTAGGGGTGTTCGCTTATATTATGCCCCCTTCTCGTATAGTTTCGAGATATTAAGCCTATACCGATAGCTACGTACGACTAGTAACCCTAATATAAATCTAAATAATATACCTTAAATGTACATTAATATACGCGTATACTTAAAAGCCGAAGTACTCTAGTTTATAGTACGCATCTATCGACTAAGCGTAATTTATACCGTTCGTTAGAGGAAGTCTAGTATGCTATCGAGTACACTTTCGCCGTTGCTCTACGCCCTCTAGGTTAAGCTCGATAAGGACCTTATATAACCGGTTACGGCTAATATAGTTATACTATGTTCGTATATACTCGTAGAGCATTCGTCGACCGTACTCTTTAATCGTTTCGTAATCTAGTTCGTATTAAAGGATCGCTCGTATCTATTACTTAGACTCCTCCCTCCTTTTAAGCGGAACTCGCTTATATAGCCCTATCTTCTTACGTATAACCGCTAGCCGTAGTATGCTAATTCTTACTCTATCTCTATTAAACATCCTTACGGTTTTATTATCCGTTAGCCGGAGGACGTAAAAGGCGTAGCTAATACGCTCTCGAAGGAACGTAGTATCCTTAACGTTAAACGGCTACGTACGAACGGCCTAGTCCCTTAGCCGTCGCTATAGCGTACGTATTATAATCGATACTCTATAGTTATCGAATAATATACGATAGATAGCCGAATAGCTACTACCCCTAAGGATATAGTATTCGATCTATTAGCGGTGCTCTTCGAGGTCGGCTCTTAATCGCGGTATAGTTAGTTATACTATAACTTATAAGTTAAGAGAAAAGCAGTTATCGAGGGATATAAAAGACTATAAAACTATACCGCTTATTTAACTATAAAGCGGGGGTACGGGGTGCGGTATCTACTTATAGTATGTTCGTAGCTACGTTCGCTAGCTATATTCGCTTAAACTTTATAGCTCCGAGCTCGAACTAGCGCCTTAATAAGCTCTATTTCTAGAGTTTGCTCTATAAGGAGCGGAGAGGTATATAGCTAGGTTAATAGTACGATAAAACGATAGAACGATAAAACGACAAAACGATAGAACGACAAATTGTTAGAAAAAAGGGGCTCTATACGAACACCTATACGAATATAAGCGAATAGGACCCCCTACCTTAGTCTAGTCGATATACCGTGTCCGGCTAGGACTACGAAGTTATATTCGCTAATTATTTATACTACTCGTAATGTTAAGCTCGTAATCCTCGAATAGAGAGTTTATTTCATACGTTTAAGAAGTAATCTACGGCGGCGAATAGTACTACGAGTACTACGAATATAATAGCCGCCCTCCCCCCTAGATTTAGATCCGCGTTTTTATTACTTCTAAACGAAGCTAAGGCTTACCGAAAGAACGCATCTAGGGTACTAAGCTACGTTATATACTCGGCTAGTAGTAAACTAATGTTATCTCGCTAGAGCGCTCCGCTAGCGCTAGCGACTCTATTAAAGACTCCTACTAAAGGTAAGTAACGATAGGCTTCTCCGGTTCTAACTAAGCTAGTTACTACTACTACTACGAGCTTCCGGATTTAAGCTATATCTAAGATATAGTTTTAGAAGGTTATAGTATACGGCCGAACTAAGAAGTAGACCTACTAAGAGCCGGAGCTATACGGATAATTTAAGGATAGCTAGACCGAACAAAAGTTCCTTAAGTTAGACCGTTTATTACTTAACTTTATATACGAGAGGATAGATTAAAAGATGCGCTACGCGAGCATAGAGCAGAACTACTATAGCTATTAGTTTATAGACGGGTTCGATCTAGTTAGCTACTAACCGGCTGTTATTAGTAAAAGAGCTCTTAAGGCGGACACCTTAGAAGAGAAACTCCTTACTTTTAATACTACTAAACTAAAGGGCTAAACACCTTACGTAGAGTTAAATATTATCGTGTTTACTATAGATAAAACCTTATTACGAAGGGCTAGAAGGCTCTTAAGTTCCGAGCTACTATCTCCGGCTCGGTCTCTATTACTAATACCGACGAATACTATAACGATTACGGCGAACGTAGTAGCTACGCCCTCTATAGAAGCTAGTAAAGGACCGCTACCGCCTTACGTTAAGGTTAAGACGATACTATTACGGAATAATCCTATAGGGACTCCTCGTAGCGACAATCCCGTATAGGAAAGGCCGCTAGGGATAAATAAGATAGGGAAGGCCGTAGGGCTAGTAATCTTATATAGACACGCGACGTTAGGATAGAGCGGGTAGGATAGGATCGCTAAGAGCGTAACTAGGTTAGGTAATCTAGGTGCTAAGCCGAGCGCTTCTTCTAGTACTACTTAAACTAACTAGACGCCCTACCTAAGCGCTTAGAGCGCTCGCGCTCGGATTACTTAGATAGCTTACCTTTATAGTTAGTATATATAGAAGCGATATAATCCCCTATAGAGCATATCGCGTACAACTTACTATTTTATCTTACTTATTAGAATAGAACATCCTACTTTACTTTACTTTATAGACTTCCTATAAGCTCTAACCCGATCCCGCCTAGCTGAGCCTTCTAGCTTAGCTTAGTAAGATTATCGAGATATTTATATCTTAATAGACACTTCCGATAGGGTAACGCCCTATTAAAAGTAGCTTATAGAGCAGCCGTATAATCGATCTATTAAAGCTACTAGAGGTAGTAGATCTTACGAATACGGTAACGAGTAGAGCGAATACGGAAGATACGGCTTCGGCTTCTCGATTAGCTAGAGTAGCTATAGCTACTATAGCTAAGGTAAGGGCTATAAAGGTAAAGGCCGTAAGCGTAAAGGCCGCTAAGGTAAAGGCTACTACTACTAAGGCTAAGGTTACTATAGCGAATATAGTAACGAAGGTAGCGAATATAGTAAAGGACGTTATAAGTACTATAATAAACGTTACGAATAGCGAATAGCCTACTCTACCGTTACCTAAGTAGCTAAAGAGAAAGAAGCAACGATAAGAATTACTACTATTAGGTATAAGTCTAAGATCTACTAAAAAGTAGCGAACGCCTTAACGAACGGCTACGAGTAATATTAAGCAATTTCGAGTAAAGTTATTAGAGTATGCGGTTGTTATAGCTTATTTAGCCTAAGTTAGCTTAAGTTAGCTTAAGTTAGCCTTAAAATAGCCTTGCTTTTCGTCGCATTTCCTATACTATACCTCTTAAAACACACTAAATAAACACTAAATTATATATACATAATTGCTAGATATAAAGCTTAACAACCTAAGTTTTTAAWCAACTAATACTACGCGAGTGCGCTACGAGTACCGTTATAGCTATTGTTTTAGTAAGCTTAACGAGCTTAACTTTAGAATTTGAATTATCGAAGTATAAGATCCGGAGCTCCTTACGGGGAAGAGTTAATCCGAGTAATATGTATTCTACGACTAATATAAAGCTCGGGTGAAATAGAAAGCTCTAGCCGCATATGTAGCATTTTAGAAACATCTACGCTTTGTAATAATAACAATTAGGCAGACATTGTTCGAGGAGACATTACACGCTTTATAAAATTGCTTCTTTTTATACGATGAGCTGCTCGTTCTAGGCTGTTATCGTCGATTTAAGGCAAGTTGGAAAGCTTCAATTTCACCGCGTTTAGATGCCATGAAATACAACAGTATTCCTTATTCTGTCGACTGGTTTTCATAATTCTGTACGCTACGAGATCGCACGACGTACATTTTCCAACTATGCTCGTCAAACTATAGCATAGCACCTACTCCTTAGAACTTTCGAGAGAGACCAGATAAAAGTACAGTCTTGTAATGCCACCCCAAATCCAACCCTAGACAACATAAGGGGAAACTTGGAAGGACCGCGAAATAGTCGATCTGTTTGATGCATCGAGCAAACAAACAAACCGCCAGATATGAATTTTACGAAAAGGCACACTAAGGTAGGCCATAGGATCAATGAAGAGAACCAACAGTACCGAAGGGTCCCTTTCCTCGGCACACTGCTTCCATCATCCAAGGTCATACAGAATTCAGTAATCAATCAGAACTACCGCGGCCACGCCTCCACAAAATCTTTACACATAAGGCGTGCTTCCATTCCATCTCACTCTCAAGYTGATCTATTTAGATCCCATATAGCTTTCGCCTCATTCCCATGTACTAGGTAGTAACTCATTGTCGGCTTTTTGTTCCAGCATCTAGGGCTTTGAGCCTAGGTTAGTGAATGCATGTGTAGCATAGAAAGGCGTGCATCGCCGACCTTCTCCCGAGAGACAGTATCTCCTTGATAGTCTCTAGTAGGTCATGGTCCCCACTTTCGCTAGCGGAATACTTTGATAGTCGATGTCGAATCATGTCGTGTAGAGCATCGACGCTTTAGGCGAGCTGGTATTCGAGCGGCTGATTGGTAGTGCCTTGGTTCTTTCCTACCCACAATCGCTTCTTGGGAGGATGTAAGAGACAACGATCATCCTAGAAGGGGCCGCTAGTCGTGAGGCAAGACTCTGTATCCCCTAGTGTCTGGGCGACGTGGACTAGGCCGGCTCGCATAACAAAGACATTTGTTCACTGCTGAGATTTTCTATCACTGCCGAGCTACGCTACTCGAGACAATACGTCTATGCATTTCACTTATCTTTTTCAGCATCGATCAATTTCTTTAAAACTTGGCTCAATTCCACGGCTTTGTTCGCAAACTCAACTTCGTGCGAATTGTTCTTTRAAAGGTGAAACTTCGCTCCCGTAAAGCCGTTAGGATGCCATCTCCATCTTTCAGCCTCTAGTGTCGTCTGCAGGTCTCCAGTTGCTTCGAACAGCCTGTGTAGACTATGCTCGCAAGCTTCAAGATACCGATGCCGTGAAGTGCATCCGTCCTTGTTACAGGGCCAGTGGGGTGGCTCGGGGAAAGGGGTGAATGATGTTCCGTAGAGCTGAAAGACTTTGTTGCAATCTGTTCTCCATGTTCGAAATTTCCTGGCGTCTTCCTCTCGTTGCAATGCCATTGCAGCTTGCTGGCGTTTTTTGTCTTCTTCCACCTTCCGCTCTCTTGCCTCCCGCTCTCTCTGCAATTTCTCCAGTCTATCTTCCTCTTCCTTTCGAGCTCGCTCTAGTCTCTCTTCCTCCTCCTTTCGAGCCCGCTCAAATTGTCGTTGCGCCTGACGTCTCCGCTCCGCATCCTTAAGGAGATACACCCTTTCTTGCTCTTCGTACGCCCGCTGTGCCTTGACCTTTCGTCTCCATTCTTTGTACACTGGCCACATAATACAGCCGCCCTGAATAATAAGTCCAAGTAGTACGACACTAACGGTCAAGCTAAGGACGACTTTGACGGCAAAAACAGCTGCTCTGCCAATAGCCTGCCCGATCCGTGCAACAAAGTTGATAACCCGATGCGGGATATTAGTGATCCATTGCGCAGAGGCTTTCAGCTTATCCCAGACGTAGATGGCAAAGCGGACTACTGCGTGGATGGGTATGTTGATTTTACGGCACAGCTCAGAAAACAGTCTAGACAAGGTAGTTTTTGCTTCTGTGACATTCCTGTTCGCTAGGATGAATTTGAGTGGTGCCATGGTTTTTTTTTTTTTTGCAATGCTACGGGTTGTGCCGGGAGCTGGTGAGAGTTACAAATGTGGGAAGAAATGTTATCTTGAAGAGTAGGCGGTGCGTTGGAGGACATGAAAAGCGGAGTACATTCTGCGGCGCAGCGATTGCATGCATACACACCCCCGTATCCAAGTGGGGCTGAGGTTTGAGATGTGTGTCGCTTCATTATTACCGTCTTTTGATGTCCACGCCTATATCCTGTATAAGGCCTTATAGGTAGCTACTAGCAGTGTTCTAAGGCGCTTTCTGTGTCGTAGTTAGTAGCTATAAAGAAGACGCTATTTATGTAAAGGGGCGTGCTGCTGTCTAATTAAAGMGGCTACCTAGAGTCAGTGTTTTCTAAGCCGATATCCGCCCGAGATGAAGTAGTTCTACGGCTTCGGTAATAAAGGCAATAAGGAAGATACCTTCGACACTACCTTAGTATTCAGAAACGCCTTTTTACGAGGTCTAAGGGGTAATACATAACTCAGGGATGCCGAGCCGGTCTTTTTTCCCCAGACGCATGGTGGCTTTGACTGCTCTATTGGATGTTGGCCGTATCTAAGCGAGGCAGAGGTCGCTGATATTGCAATCAATATTCAGTCAACTCTTGTCATCAGAAACGAATTTCATTCCCGCTCTTCATAAAAGGTATAACTTCATCTCAGACTAACAAGACGCCACATGCTCCGCCAACGCCTTCAAATTCTTCGCCCCAACAATCTTCGTCAATGGTAGCTCCACCTTACCCTCCCTCTTGATCCAGTTCCGCAATTCAACAGCTACCAGAGAGTCCAACCCCAACTGACCCAGAGGCATCTCGGCCGGAATCTCCTCAATCTCCATCATCGTCATCTCAGCCACTTTGGCAATCAAACCTTCCAACAGATCCGCGCTGGACTCTCCTACAGCACCCTTCGATCCACCACGGCTTTTATCGTGCTCATCGGCCGAATCTCGACCTGCAAGCAGACCCGTAGTCAAGGCTCGCACATGAGGCCAATGCTCCCATCGCATACCTCTGTTCATCGGCCAAAGAACACCACTTATGGCGATGCCATCTGGACTCAGCCCGGAGCTGGAGCCGATGATGGCTCCTTGGACCAATGTCTCAATGTGAGACATTTTGAGCGAGATACCATGCGTCTTTCTCATCTCCTCGGTCATATTGCGTTCCTCCACATAGCCGGTTCCTTCGACTACCGGAAGATGGATTGTTGTTGCTGGCTGGCCTTGATGGAGGCGATGTTTGGTGAATGCCTCCAAGAACGATGATGTTCMAGAGTAAATGGTCACTCCCACAAGTCCAATGACGGAGTTCATCGAGGCGAGCGAGWTGAAGAAGTCTAGGTCTGGTAATAGTGCGTCAAGACTCCATGCGCCTTGAACTTTGGGGCTCGTGATGCGGGTCCAGTCTTCGTAGGTGTGGTTGACCAGGAGCGAGTCTCGGATGTACAATGCTCCATGTACGACTCCACGGACAGGCGGCAAGTCCTGGATATCCTCTAAAGCTTTCGCCAAGGCGTCTCGGTCGCTGACATCGCATTCGATTGCCCGTAATCCGCTGTACGTTGAGAGTAGCTCGGCCACCTCTGGACGAGATGCACCACTTCTGCCCAGCAGGACAACATTTCCTGCCCCGTGCTCGAACATCCACACTGCCAACGACCGGCCAATGCCTCCTGTACCACCCGAGATGAGATATGTTGCGTCGCTACTCAGCAGCGGACCGGACTTTTGCATAGAAGATTGTGCTTCTCCAATAACGGACTCGTCCTGACCCATGGTTAACAAAATCTTGTGGTCTGTGTCAGATTGCAACTTTTGCATGCCTGCAGTGAGTTGTGAGATCGGTAGGGTTGTCTGGCCATGCAAGAGGGTCTCGCCAACGTCGCTTTGCAACACTTTCACGCCCTCTCGAAGGCTCTCGGCAACGAGTTGCGGTCGATGTTTGATGAACTGATGCATGTCCATCTTGCTCAGCGTGACGTTACGGGCCATCAGGGCATGATTCACACGGGTGCCATTGTATCTCTGCTGGTCCGCGGTTCGTAAGTTCACCCACCGACCAAAATTCGCAACGACATCCGCTGATTGTTGCATGAGTTCGTCGTTGCTCGTGTTGTTGATCAGCACATGGACGCCTTGTCCCTGTGTTGCTTTCAAAATGCCCTCGCGGACGTCAGAAGCGTCGCAGGAGAAGACATTGCTGCTCGGAATTCCAAAGTTGGTGCATATATCTGAGCGTTCGTCAGCCGTCCTGGCAGATGCGAACACTGTCGCTCCCAGGCTTTGGGCCACTGCAATGCACATCCGCCCGACCGTGTCCGCAGCCCCATGTATAAGGACTGTGTCTTCCTGCGTCACCTGAGCAGTATGCGAAAGAGCAATGTGGGCTGTGGCGTAGGCGAGGGGGAAGCCAGCAATGTCAGTGTTTGTCATCTCAGCCGGCAACTTGCAGATGTTGTGAGTGAGTAGACGGATATGTGTTGCCATCGCTCCTTCTTCTGTCAAGAACATGACACGGTCTCCCTCTTCGAGCTCAGCAACACTGGTTCCCGTGTGGAGCACTGTACCAACACCCTCGAGACCGGGAGTCGTCCATGGCAAGCTCCCATTAATGACCTGCAGATCCCGGACATTTAGACTCGCTGCTTCCACTCGAACGAGAAGCTCGTCGTCGCCCAAATCTTGATCGGATATCTTAAGCTCACGGAAGTAAATCGTACTGGGGTCACCAACGTTCTCGACATTCAGCTCCAGACCGGTTGTGTCGTCGTCCCGCCACAGAGATCGTTCTTTACGCACAAGACTGCCAGCCTCCAGCTCAAACTTCTCCTTTGCAACCAAGTTTTCTTTCAGGCGTGGCAGCATGATGAGATTGTCAGACCATATGAATTCCTGCTCGTCGTCGGCCGCTATGGTTCCCGAGAGCAATTGCTTTGCAACGCGAACCACTGTCCGTGCTCCTGTAGCATTCTGCGGAACTTCGGTAAGAAGGAGGAAATTCTTCGAGGTATCCTCCAGCCGCATCGCGCGGAGCATGCCGGTGATCAGGTGTGCGTCTGGAGATGCTCCCTCCGGAATGACCCACAACAAGCCACCTGTGTTCAGAAGGGTTGATTTGAGAGCTTCAAAGGACGTCTCGGACAGATCCTTGAGCAGACTGTTATCTGCTTGGTCGATGTAGATGCAGTACTGCTCATCGCTGGCGGCAAAGTCATGCAGAGTCGTGACGTCTGATACGACCGAGCAGCAGCTAGCTTTGACTTCGTCGGAAATCGATGTTACGAAGTCGGACGTATCCAAATCCAAGTCGCCCACGATTGTTACTTTGCAGGCTTCTCCAACCGATTCCGACGAAGGATCTGTGTCTACTCTGGAACAACACATGACAGACATAACAGGGGATTTAGTGATCGGGTTGTCCGAAACGGAGAACGAGTGATCAATGCCGGAAAACCCTGCTTCCTGAAGAGCCATATTCCATGAATCCGCGGTCAATTCTGGTCCCAAGGGTGAACGATATTGATCTTCGGCATTCCACCAGCCGGGAAGAAGTGTGAACGGTAGGAGCGCGCCATCAGGGTCGACAAACTCCAGCATGATCAGTCTTCCCCCGGGTTTGAGCAGTGAACGAGCGTTCTGAAGGGTCTCTTCTATATTTGGGGTTGCATGAAGCACGAGGCCAGCAATGATAAGATCGTAAGATGCACTGGCAAACCCTTGTTGCACGGGATCTTGACTGATGTCCAGTTTCTGATATGTCACCCTCTCTGTACCGAACTGTCGAAGCTTTTCTTTGGCGTTGGGAAAGAAGCCGGCAGAAATGTCGGTAAAGGTGTAGTGCCAGGGAGCGTCGACCAGGGCTTGACTTTCCAATGYCTCCAACGTTGCAGGTGCGGTACTTCCAGTGCCGCCTCCGATCTCCAAAACTSCCAAATCGGGTTTCATGCCCGCGAGAATGCGGACATAGCGAGCGATACCTTCAGCACCACGGACGGTCGGCYGGTGTTCTTCGTAATAGCGGGTGAGCAGGCCGTCTCGTAAGATCACCTCAAGGGGCTCGACCTCGCCGTTCAGGATCCTCACGAGCTCCTCGCCCACCATGCAATTTATCTGGCCTTGGGAGCTACCTTGTGATACCTCCGGTATCGTAGCTTTCACCTGTTCCATGTCCAGCGGCCACTTGTCGACCATGTGGTGCGCCCACGCGAACCATTTCGAAAAGTGAGGTGGTAGATGCGACATGTCCTTGTCCTTGACTGCTTCCAGGGCTTGAGCAGTGTAGTAGATACCCACATCGCGGACGCGAATATCTTCCTGCATCTCTGCTTCGTCGGCTGGAATAGGGGGCAACATCTTGACGAGATCGGCATCATCTGCGAGATCAAGACTGGGAATCTTAGTCCACATATAGCTCCGTGGTACAGGACCATCTGCAGAGGAGTGCTCCGCCTTTGAAATGCACCTCAGCTGGAGACCCTCAACTTCCAATACCGGCTCCTGCAGACTTCCATCTTCCCCGGCGGCGAACGCACACACGTTTAGTGTACAATTTCCGGACTTTGAGTCCTGGCTGGGCATGATGGTTCCAATGGTGAAGTTGTCGCTCGTGATCCTGTTCGAGATGCGGGCACGATTGATAAAGGTAGGCACCGTAATGTTGCTCTTTGCTCCCTCACGACCTTGCACAAGTCCAACACTGTGGTTGAAAGAGTCGAGGATCGGCGCGTCCACAGTCACCGGAGACTTGTCAGTAAAGAAGCGCTCATGATCGGTAGGTCGCAAGCCAACGGTATGAACTGTTGCTCCTTTCTTTGCACGCAAGCTGGTCATCCCCTGGAACAAAGGACCCCAACTGATTCCTGATCGCTTCATTGCTGCATACTCTTCTTCGACATTGCACTCCTCCAACTCRGCTTGATCGGCAATGACTGCCTCGATCTGTGCTGTCAAAGCACTTTCGACTGAAGAGTACTCTGGCTTGATGGTGCCCTGACAGTGCACGACCCAGTCATCAGAGGCAGATAGAGAAATGATTTCGAAACTTCGCTCTTCCGAGATGGTAGAACCCGACGGCCGGATTCTTGTCGTCAACTGCACTTGTTCCTCTTCCAATATGGTCAAAGCCGTCTTGACCTGGATATCGCGCAAAAGAAGGCTCGTTGGAGGAGAGCGAGAAATCAATCGTATGGCTTCTGCAGCCATGCAAAGATACCCGGCCATGGGAAAGATGACATCGCCGCCGACGATATGATCTCGCAGCCATGGCATGTCATCAAGAGTGAAGACCTGCCGGAAGGAGTGGTCCAAGTGGCCATCAGAGGAATTCTTCCAGCCGAGTAAAGTGTTGTAGGGAAAGTCTGGGTGTAGCTTCTTTCGTGTCAGCAGTGACTGGTGTCGGAAGCTGGTGGATTTATTCCATTCGTATGGCGGTAGATCTACGAGAACCCTGGCAGAGGATGCGCTGATCTGATTGACGACACCGAAATCGACGTCGAGTCCGGATTTGAAGAGACGTGCAGTGAGGTCCAAGATGGACTCAACATCATCAGTCTTGCGGACGAGTGACGGGGCGTACATGACCTGTGGAGGAGCCAGGCGCTTGAGCGTATCTCTAATGGGGTTTTGCAACGCTGCATGAGGACCGATTTCGACAAGCATGGACGAGCGTAGACTCTGCTCGGAATCTTCATCCATCGAGAGCAGCTCTTCCAAAGCCTCGGTGAATAGGACTGGCTGGAGCATGTTCCGAACCCAATAAGAGGAATCCGCGACGATTTCTTTGGGCTCACGCAACCCCGTGACGGAAGAGACGAAGACGGGGTCTTCATCTGGCGATACGACTGGCGAGTCGGACGGGAAGTAGTCTTCAATCATGGATGCGTAATCTTCCGCCACCTTCTCCATGTGTCTCGAGTGGTAGGCTATACCAGTTCGAAGCTTTCGTGCAAACAATCCCCGATCTTCGGCTTTCTTCTGGATGGCTTCGATAGCTGCGTCGTCGCCGGAGATGGTCACACTGTTCGCGCTGTTGTATGCAGCGATCGTAGCATAGCCCTCGTCGTCCTCTGGGAAGAGCTCACGTGCGCCTTCGGCGCCTATCCCAATAGCCAGCATACTACCAGAGATGTCGGTATCTTCAAGGACTTTGGTCGCTGCCTGTCCTCGGAGGAATGCGATTGCCAAAGCCGACTTGAACGATATCATACCGGCGGCGAATGCGGCGGCGATTTCTCCCGAGCTATGTCCCATTACTTTCGAAGGTGTGATCCCAAATGCTCGGAGGAGCTGCACGAGTGCCAGCTGTACAGCAGTGCATGTTGGCTGACTGATGGCTGGCTCGTCGATGCGAGAGTCCGATTCTGACTTGGAGAGTTCTTCCTGCAAAGACCAAGAAGATCCAAGTGATTCGAGGAATTTATCAGCCTCTTCAATTGCGGTAGCAAAAACAGGATAGTGGGATAGACCCAAAGCCATGCGGAAGTACTGAGCGCCTTGTCCGGTGAACACAAATGTTATGTCAAGATCTCCACTCTTGCTCAACTTGCCCGCAGTAGAAGCTAAGCTAGCAGCAATGACTTCCGAGAGAGAGGAAGTAGAGTCCGCTGTGAATGCTGCGCGGTATGGAAGATGGGCTCGACGTTGCCCAAGAGTGAAACACAAATCCTTTGTAGACTCCTGGGGAAGATCGAGTGCATACTGCTGGAACGTTGTCAAGTACGCGTCCAGGCTGTGAGATGACTTTGCAGAGAAGACAAAGAGCTTTTGACCTTGCTCTTTAGGTGATTCATTGACGCTGCCGTTGACTTCTTGGGCAAGGTCTCCGTCGCGAGTGGAGTCAGAGGGGGCTTCTTCCAGCAAGACAGCAGCGTTRGCACCACCAAAACCTTGAATAAAAATACGATTAGTCGGAGAAGACCTCATGAGATGGAGGAGGAGAATTACCATAATTGCCTATGGCTACACGTTTGAGCGTACCGGGAGGCCAAGCTAGCGACTCTTTCAAGACGCAAAGCTTTTCGCCGCTCTTGATAGCTGGATTCAACGTTTCAAAGAAGGCGGTGGGTAGAAGACGCTCGCGCTCTATCATCATGATACTTTTGACGACTGACAACAATCCAGATGCTTCTTCCAGATGTCTGCAACGCCCAAATGTCAGCTAGGTACCATCTTTTTGCTACGCTACCGGGCTTGAGCTTACCCTATGTTTGCCTTGATCGATCCCAGATACACCGGGAGGGAAGGGGACCGATCCCGTCCAAATACGGCGGCAATAGCACTCGCGTCAACTGGGTCTCCAACTGGAGTACCAGTTCCATGTCCCTGTAAAATCAGTCACCAGGGGTTCTGCTCATAAAGTTTGGAGCAGTTCATCCGGAGGAGACCAACCTCAACATATGTCGTATCCCGAGGATCTAAGCCAACCTGCTCATGAAGATCGCGGAATAGACTCTCATGTGCCTGCTGAGACGGCATAGAAATTCCAGGGGTACGCCCACAATGAGAGGCGGTGGTGTTTTTAATAACTGCGCGGATGGGATCTCCGGCCTTGATGGCTTCTGCGAGTGGTTTGATCAAAAGGCAGGTAGCACCCTCACCTCTTCCGAAACCATTAGCACGAGCATCMCAGCTGTAGCTCTTCCCGTCGACCGACAGAGTTCCCACCGTGTCAAGAGTGCTGAAGTTCTCGGGCCCAAGGTTTAATATACAGGCACCAACCAGAGCAGCCGAACATTCACCCGATCTTACGCTTTGGCAAGCCATGTGTAAAGCGTAACCGCCCGTCGCACATGCGGCCTCCAAAGACACGGACGGACCGACCTGTTTTCAGAATGAATTAGTTGGAGACATTGACACGACGACCATGCGAGGAGGAGGAATATACCAGATCAAAGAAATGCGAGATACGATTACTCGTCATACATGGAGCAGTGCCTAGCGCAGTGAAGCTTGAGGCCGTGGGCATATCATCCATGAGCTGACCCACATAGTCCGAAGCACCCGTGGCAGCAAACACTCCTATTCGGCTACGGGCAAGATCGAGAGGTCGAACGCCTGCGCTCTCCATTGTCTCCCAGGTGCACTCCAGTAGCATGCGGACCTTTGGATCCACATATTTGGCCTCATCTGATCGGAAGTTGAAGAATGGAGCGTCAAAAGCAAATACATCTCCCGGGAGGAAGTGACCTCCATGCGAAGTCACACAACCAGCTCGTTCGGAGGATGGGTGGTAATATGCTTTGGCATCGAATCTTTCGGCCGGCACTGGTGACCAGGCACTCTTTGCTTGTTCGAGAAGTTCCCAGAGATTTGAGCGACCTACTCCTGGTGCTCTGTAGGAGTATCCGATGACGGCAAGGGGCTCTTGTTTGCTGTCCATGGTGAAAATCACTTTCTGTATTCTGTGCTATTCGAATGTTTCAGGGGTTGATGGGATGGAAATGTTTAGCTACAAGTAACTCGTCTGCCAGAAGGGTCTTGTAGCAGTGTTGTGTTTGACTACGAGGCTAGGAGGTAAGGAGTACGTGACGTGGTTGCTGTGATCTCAAACCCGAGCATCCCTCTCATGGGCCGGAGGAAGCTCTCTCTCTGACACATGAATGCGTGGATGAAGATGGCTCCCCAGCGATGCATCATCATGATGGTCTGTCCGGTGGTGGTCAAGGCGTGGGATTGATCGATCTTGACTCGAATGTTTCGCCGTGGTCGTGCATAGAGCGTTTGAGCAAGCTTGCAGGTGAAACTTGGGTTGGCACAACGAGTATTCAAAGCTCAAACTAACAAACCATTGTCAAGTTGACTCATGGGTCCGRACGGACGGAGCTCCTGATGTGCCAAGTGTCAAAACCGAAATCCAAAAGCGAGACCTGTGAGCTGCGCTCCTTGACTTTATATTGAATACGTAAGACTTCTGATTTTGCCGCGCTCGTAAACAATTTTTTATACTACAAGCTAGACTCTACGAGAGTATAGGTGAGAAAGACCTAGCAATTATTACGCAATTCCAGAATCTTTCTATTTTGAACGGGAAGCTCGAGTCAGGGAGTGTCAAAGTTCCTCCCAATGTGGAGTTAGTTTCAGGGTCTAGGGTAGGGACGTGAAAGTTTAGTCCATAATCGGGTGGGCGTGTTTCAAGACTCGGAAATTCAGTAGTCATCGGTCGTAACCAGCATAAAGTTCGAGTGAGACTCGCATCGTCCGTCGCAAGTAATGGCAAGTAGTTGGAGATGATGGGTTTCCCCTGAAAGGGCTCACAGGCTCGGAGCTATGCTACTATCTCCCTGTCGACTTGTTGTCCGCTCGATCTTGGGGATCGGGGGGATCGAGTGAGCTAACATTGGAATGAACTCGATGGATTGATCGATCGATCGAAGATTGTAAGGTAAGGACAAGGTGGCCTAGTGCCAGTGAGTCGATCAACGAGCTTAGTAAGCACTCGGCCAGGTGAGTGACCGGTCAGCCACCGGATTTCAAAAATCATCCAATCAATATTCATGCATATACATCTTATTAGCAACCGAAAATCGCTGTATCGATGCCTGAAGAAGCCATCAGAACTTGTCAAGCACTTGCGGTAGATGGAGAGACAATCTGGCCCCTATCCCGGGACACCACGGCTTGGAGTGGTGGCTGAGCAGAATCAGCCGCTAGCAGGTAGAATTGAGAGATCAAAATCAACAAGAGATTGATGATGGAGGATGAAAGTCGATGGTAAAATGGATTTGGAATTGCTAGAACGACGACGCTTTACAATGAGGAATTGGATAGGCGCCTTCATCGCCCCTTTTTTTTTTATCGCCAGCTCATCCGAGAATCTCCTTAAGGGACGCCGTCAAAAACTGCGCTCTCTCCTCTGACACTCTTGCCGAGCAATTTATATCGACGACCATTTGTGACTCATCGCACCATGCCACGATCCACACCTCTGCCATTCCCTCAACATGACTTTCGCCTCGAAAGCGAAATTCACTATTGCCGATGTGTCCACAAGTCGTCTGGTGACCATAGTCCTGAAAAACCAGCACCGATCCTAGAGAAGATTTCATATCTCCAAGCCAAKTTCGGCAATCAACATGGTGATGAGGTAGAGCAGCCTCGGCTTTACTTTGAAGCTCAGTAGTTAGATTCATCATTGTGGATGTTTCTTGAATGTGGGCGCGAACGGGTAGCAGATTCAGGCAGGGTCCGCGAGTCTCTTCGATTCCCATGATGTTGAGGTTGCGATTGGCAGTGATCTCTGCAAAAAGAATGTCTTCCGCATTGTGACATGCTCGGGATAGAACCATGGACCACGCAGTCTTCAGAATCGTTGCCGATGTGCCTGGATATTTTGTCAAATTGTCATTGGGAATGCTAATTCTGGATTGTCGTCTGACAGCTTTGCTGTTCTCGGTGGACGGCTCCATGGACGGTGTCGCCAGACTTGTCATCGACGTTGAACCGGACAAGAAATCCCGCCAGAACTGCTCGGTGTTGGTATTGTCAAGGCTCGATACGTAGTGAGCCCATTCATCGAACCGAGGGCCATCACAGAGAGGCTGGCTTCGGTAAGCGACATTGAGGTCCTTCAGAATGAGTTTGAGAGAGATGTTGTCGTAGAAGACATGGTGAATGCTCAAATACAGAGCAGTACACATCTCATCACGTCGCTCCAGACGGAAGCTAGGCAGCATTTTGCTATGCTCCCAGTCAGTGACTTTGTTCAAATCACCCGCTTTCAGTACGATCTGGTAGGCTGTCGAGTGCTCGTGGATAATGATTGTCCGCAGAGTCGTGTGATGCTCGATAACAGACTCCAGGGCCTTTTCTAGTCGACGTATGCTCAAAGCGGGAGAGAATTCAAGGACAAATTCATCCGCCGGCTCTGACAAGCTGTAGCTCCCATCTTCACCCTCAATGAACATGAGTGATTGGAATCCTGTGGCTAGCGCGACAGTTTCCACCTTTTCTCGATGGGATTCCGGGATGGACGACAGATGCGGAGTAGATGACTGTTGTTTAGACATTGTTCCTGTTATACTGACGGCAGCTATGGCTTGTGGGTTATTAGCAACTGCAGCGGCCATATCGGAAAGCGTAGGAAACTCAAAGACAGTCTCGAGGTTCAGTGAGATACCAGCCTTTCGTGCAGCTGCCACCAGTCGCATCGCCTAGAATCAATCAGTCATCTGGACTAGTAGTGGATCTGATGTATGCTCACCCTCAAGGAGTTCCCGCCAATAGCGAAAAAGCTACCGCTCGCCGGTACCGAGGACTCCGGACGATTGAGGACCTTGGACCAGAGCTTTCGTAGCTCTGACTCTTGCACACTGAATTCTTGCGAGACCATATCCTGGGGTCCGTTTGCCGCATTGGTGCCTTGTACGCTGTAGGCCTGTAATTCCTCAGGAGACAACTGTGCGGCCAAATGTTGAAGCCTTCGGCGGTCCAGCTTGCCTACACTTGTAGAAGGGATCTGTCTGATGTGAACAAACAAGCCAGGAACCATGTAACTTGGCAGTGCGTCAGTCAAGCCTTTATGCAATCGAACAGCCAATTGCTGCATTGGATCTAGAAGCATTCCTTCAGGTTCAGCTGTCGTCATCCTGTTGACGCTACGTTCCTGACCGAATGGCGCAAGGAAAGCCACTAGCTCGGCACGCTCTTGACCAGGTCCTAGAATCTCAACTGCAATGTTCCAGTCCGGACCTACGAGGTGACGAATATGGTACTCGATATCTCCCAATTCGATACGTCGGCCTCGAATCTTCACCTGGCTATCGTTGCGACCCAAGACTACCACCGATCCGTCAGGGTTTTGTGTGACGATATCGCCAGTACGATAAAACCGGCTCGAAAATTCCAGGCCAGGGAATGTTTTCGACCACGCTGGTGCATCAACGAATGCTGCAGCAGATCGACTCTCATCGTTGAGGTATCCTCGCGCAACTGTCGGTCCTTCGATAATCAGCTCGCCTGGGCAACCAATCGGGCAGAGATTATTGTGGTTGTTGATGTCGACGACCCAGTAGCGACTAGACGCTGGAGAGCCCACACTACGGAATTGCGCAATTCCTGTCGCAGAAACATCGTTACAGCTCGTCAAAATCGTCGCTTCCGCTGGACCGTAGGTATTGAGAAAGCGAAGGTGGGGAGTCCAGGTCTCGGCCGCTTCGCGAGTGACGACTTCGCCTATAAGAGCAAGTGTGCGCAGAGTAGGTAGTACATCGGCAGGGCTTAGCAACCGGGCCATACTGGGTGTGATGAACGCAAAGTTGGCAGCGGCCTCTGTAATTGCACCCGCCATGTTCTCGTACAAACTGTCCTGAGGAGGCATACATAAGCACCCACCGGCAAGCAGCGTGAAAAATATGTCGCCCATGGCAACGTCGAAGGTGAAATTCGTTGCCTGTATCGTTCTCGTGGTGTTTCCGAGGCCCAGCTTCGGGATGAAGTCTGATGCGGTGGTCGCAACATTGGCGTGACTGATGGTAATGGCCTTTGGTGTTCCGGTGCTTCCCGAGGTCGAGATCACGTAGCATGTCGATTCTGCATTGATATCCGCATGCACACTTGACGGGCATGTGTGTGCTGGAGGAGGTTGCTCCCAGTCCTGCAAGCTGAGGCACAAAACATTGGAGAATACCGCCAACGCCTGAGTCTTGTGCTTCGGCGAGCTGATCACCAGGGAGCACTCAACAGAGCAAATCATGTCTGCAAGCCGCTTAGGAGGGTGAGAGGCATCAAGTGGCATCACTGCTCCTCCCGCTTTGAGGACAGCCATTATCACCACAATTGCGATGGCCGATTTCTCAAACATTAGAGGTACGACCACACCAGGACCGACTCCCATAGCAGTCAGCTTCGAGGCGCCCAAATCCGACATGCTGTCTAGCTCGCCGTAAGTCATCTTCGCATCCCAAGATTCGACTGCACTTGCATGACGCTGCTTCCTAGCAACCTCTGTGAAGCGGTAATGGACGCATTCCTTCTCTCCAGTCAAGGTCTTGCGATTCCACGTCGTTTGTAACACAGACCTTTCATACTCGCTTAGTGATTCGAGGTCAGAAAGGACAGTACCCGACTGCGGTGATGCAATTTGAGTGAAAGCATGAGCGTATTGCTGCAGTATTAGCTCCAATTGCTCCAATGACAGACTGGACGAGCTGATCTGAATCTGGAGTACTGCTGCATCAGGCTCAAGCTGGCACCGGATCACCACCGCTGCGTTGTGATTTTGTGGTTCTGGTCGCGCCATGCACAAAGACTCGACAAGGGACTTTGAAGATTGGCTGGGTTGCTGATCATCCACAGTGATGATGCTACCCATGGGTAGTGATAGAAAGTCATGCTGTGCTCGATGTATATGCGGTAAAATTGACAATATCGAATCTTGGGTACCAGTAATCAGATCTTCGCACGTTGAGTCTGCCGCAGTCCTCACAAGTACTAGAACTGGATCAGTTCTAAAGCCCAGGATATTCCTCGCTGGCCCGGGTGGAAGGCCTTCAGTTGGTTCAGTCGTCGTTCCGAATGTCACAGATTCGCTTCCAGTTATGCGTGAGAGATTAAGAGCCCAAGCTGCCAGTAGTTGAGACTTTAGCGTCGTTTTGTCTCTACTAGCTGAAGGCACTTCGATCGTCTGAGTTGCCTTCTCAAGACGTGTAGGTCGATCGGTAAGGCCAGGGCAAACTTTTTCAATATGGAACATTGTAGCTTGGCTGCATTGATCGAGGTGCTGCTCCYAAAATCTGGCCGCAGAGGAAAGCCCAGCCGGATCACACGTGTAGTTTACAACGTGACTCTGAAAGTGCCTCAACGGAATGCTAGAGGACTGATATGCACTTTCCAGGTCTTCTAGAATGATGTCGAACGAGGCGTCATCGCATATTGCTCGATGAATAGATAGCACCAGGCATGTTGTATCTGTCCCACCTGGGGTTCGACCAAACCTGCAAAGAGGATCTCCATAACGGAGCTCGGTGGCTTCATCCCACTCTAGATAGTCATCCAAGTTTTCTTCTTCGTTCCAGACGAGTGGTGCTCGAACGATGACCTGATGATGCCCGTAATCTACCAGAGACACGATTCGACTCCTGAGGGCTGGCTGGGCGTTGGCGACGAGGTCAAAGGCATGGCACAGTCTCTCAGCATGTGAATCCTCGATGCGAAAGACATGTTGTCTCCAGTAACCTATTCTGCTTTTCATGGAAGCGTTCATCACGGCGGGCTGTCTGGGCGTGCATGGATATATGTCTTCCAACATCGCTCGCGGTAGCTGACACTGGGAAGCAGCTTTGAATCTGATGGCCGCGATTTCACACTTGGAGAGAAGTTCGAAGGGCTCCGGAATGGCTGTCGGTGCCGTGAACGGCATGAGCAAGGTTGCAGCTGGTCTCCCGGGGTCGTCCAGTATGGTTTCAATCACTTTGCCGAAAGCCTCTGCTATGTTCGAGGCATGCCAAGTTGGAATTTCCGATGTGCGGTAGTCAAGCCGAGCTTCCAGACTATCGCCCGTGTGGACCGCCTTGACCATGATCACATACTACACAACGAAATTAGTCTTCGAATATCTCCCAAATGCCTTCCGAAAAGGTACTCGCGCCCTACTTACTTCGTGATTGTCTTCGCTTGCTACAGGCTTGACTCTGATGGACATTCCAGCTCCTAGGTCATCCGGCAGAGCACGCACAAAAGACAGAGCCGTGTTGAAAAGCGGCGCCTCTCCTAGCCCCAGAGCATCGTGCAACTCGCCGAGAGAGAATGCAGTGTGTTCCAAGCTCGCCGCAAGCTCCTCGCTAGCTTGGATGAGTACGTCCAAGATCGTTGAAGTGCGAGGAAACTCGACTTCGCAGATATTCATAGTTAACAGAGGCCCCATGGCATTTTTTGCAGCATCTCCGACAAGCCAGTCCCGAGCATCCACGAGGAGGCCGAATACGGGCTTTGGCATTACCGTGAACATTCGCAGCACAGCTGCCCATGCCACATGTAAGACGTTTGCTGCCGTTACCTCGTGCTGCTTGCAAAATGCGAGTAAGCGACTGCTTTCCCCGAGAGGGACGCTGGTTTGCTTGCGAATCCCTCCTTCTCTTGATTTCGAATGAATGTCCGAGGATAACAAACATGGTTTAGAATCAGCTAAGCGACGCTGCCAGTACCGCAAAGCGCTCGCACGTTGACGAGACATTTGCACAGCATACGGACCGACGCTGGATCCTGGCCGAAWGTTCTCTAGGTCCACATACCCGATCAAAAGCTGCTGGCATAGTCTTGCAATGGTGATCTCATCATAGAGCGCATGACTGAGGTGTAGTGTCATGAGAATGTCGCCTTCGGTATTCCTGGTAATTGTCAAGCTATGCGGAGGGTGGTGGACGGCGGTGCGCTCCGTCTGTGGTGCTCCTGGACTCCTAAGCTCGTTGAAATCGGTCCGGAATATCTCAGGCTCTGCATGTTTCAAGACAATCTGATATACGGTTCCATCGACTCCACTGACGAAGGCGGTCCGCAGTATGTCCTGGGCTGCACACACAGCTTTCCACGACTTTGTTAGCCTTTCCACATCGATTTGCTCGCCCTCAGATCGTGGTGTCAACTGTAACGTGGCTCGGTTCCAAGATTTCCTGCTTCCATGATCCCGCATCTCATGCATTACTATTCCCTCCTGCATTGCAGTGCAAGGATAAACGCAAGCGACTTCTTCCGATTTGAGTCCATGGGCGTGAAAGTCAACGTGGCGAGACCAGTCTTCCAAATCGGTCTCTACGCAACTCTCTTCTAAGCGATGTCCATCCTTCTCGTTGGGACTGTCTACTTTGGGGTCGTCAAAGCTTTGACACTGCTCTGCAACAGCGGCCAGCGACTTGCATCTTAGCAGTGTCGCCACTGTGAGACGAACGCCGATCTGGCGACAACGTGCGGCGACTTGCATCTATCATATTTGTGAGTGCTGATCATCTCGCGTATTTATAGGTACTTACTGCCAGTATAGAGTCTCCACCCAGCTTCACAAACGAAGTCTCGCGGTAGACGGATTCTTCTGGCACTTTCAGCACTGTAGACCAGATTGACCGTAGTGCAAGCTCTTGCTTGGCCGTGGGAACTGTTTTGGTATCTTCACATGACCGAGATTTTAATTTCGCAGCGGTAATGTCTTGTTCTTTGACCCATTCAGTGATGCGCCTACGGTCCAGTTTGTGCGAAACACTCCGAGGCAGTCTATCCACAACGAACCACGCCGAGGGAGTCATATATGATGGCAGCTGAGACTCAATGAAGCTGATGATATTAGCCAAAGGTTTTTGTTCTTCTTCCTGAGCTAACGGATTCAATGAGCCAGGCGGACCTTTCAAAGGTCGCGGAATCGTTATCACAGCGACCAAATCCTGCCCAGCTATGGTGGCAAAAGCATCTTGGACACCCGGCGCGGTACAAAGTGTACGTTCAACTTCTGCAAGCTCAAATCTTTGTCCTCGTAGCTTGACTTGGCTGTCAAGACGGCCTAGAAAGCAGATACTGCCGTTCGCATTGTACCTTGCCATGTCTCCGGTACGAAAGAAACGGTATCTCGTTTCTCTACGTGGACACCATGGTGGGGAGTCCACAACGAATGAGGATGATGTGAGACCTGCCTCATGCATGTAGCCTCTTGCGACCCCGGCCCCTTCGATCACCAATTCCCCAGTCGCGCCAATTGGAACAAGCTTGTGGAAATCGGCCGGGTCGACAATCCAGGCCGCACACCCAATGGGMGTCCCGATACTTGTCGGGTGTTCCGATTCTGGGGTCAAAACGGCTGCGATACTACAGACAGTGGTCTCAGTCGGTCCCCATCCATTGACAAAACGCAACTGTGTGCCCCACGTCGATGCTGCTTGTGGATTGACGGGTTCGCCGCCAGAGCAGAGGATTTTCATGTCCGCGACAGCCTCGCGAGAAATGGTGTTGATCACCGTCGTTGTCAGAATCGCAGCGTCGGCTTTGGAGGCATTGATGAACCCGGCGATATTGGACTCTCGATCGGTCTCCGAGGGTATGCATACACAACAGCCAGTGATCAAGGCGCCTATCGTCTCCATCAAGCTTACATCCCACACGAGGGRAGCGAAATGAAGAAATCTGTGTTCGGATTGAAGTCCTAGGCGATCACCGAAAGCAGGTAGAGACGATGCGAGGTTCTGATGCTCCAAGACCACCCCTTTCGGTTCGCCAGTGGAACCACTTGTTGCAAGAATGTACGCCGGCTGGGTATGTGTGCAAGATGGAAGTTTCGAGTCCAGAATTGGAAGTTCCGAAATGAGATCTGCCGTTATTGCAAGCACGTTCGTCCCGAGATCATCATTCAGCGATTGACGAAGTTCATCAGAGGTCAAGACAAGATCTCCCTTGACCATAGACATCACCTTTTTCTTCCTGGCAGTTGGATGTCCCGGATCGACCGGGACGCAAATTCCACCCGCCTTGAGTACCGCCAAGATAGAAACCATAGCCCAAATCGACTTTGCAAACAACACAACAACAGGCGTTTCGTGTTTCACGCCCCGATCTCGAAGGTGGTAGGCGAGAGCAGTTGACATCCGATCCAGCTCTGAGTATGTGGCTTTTCCATCATGAGCATCTACTGCGGGCCCAGTTGGATTCTTGCGGACTTGTGTRGCGAAGAGATCGTGTAAGCATTGTTGTGTAGGTGTGGCTGGGACGGCGCTATTCCATGCTGCAATTTCGCGGACATCATGCTCATTCACCTGTGGCAGATCATCCAGCTTCGTCTGCCCATCCACACGCATCAGCTGCTGCATGTAGTGTTCCATCTGGCGCACAATTCGCTCCGTCTGTCGACTCTCGAGGATCTTTGGGTCAGAAAATGCTTTGATGGAAATTCCTCGATCGACAATGCCAATCTCTATGACGAGAGCATATGAGAGTGGGTTGGACTGGATGCTATGTAAACTCATAATCTCGGAGTCCCTGGCATCGACATCGGTCGCTCCGATATTGAGCAAGGTCTGGTATGCGCATGCTTGCTTGGCCTGCTCACTGCATGTGGCGATGTTGTCTAGACCAAAATGCAAAGCCGGGTGCGTGTAAAGTTTGCGTCTTGCTTGCGTCCTCTCCTTTAAGAGTTCCCGCACAGTCGTTGGTATCGTAGCTTGTACTGGAACGTTCGCAATGGTAGGTCCAAAAGCCGTAGCATATTTGCAGTCAGCACCTTGGCGTCCCGAGAACACGAGTCCGTACAGAACGTTGTCGATCCGGCTGTACGATCGGGCCGTCAACACCCACGCCGCCTCGATATAGGAGGGTATGAGGGCTGGGGAGATTGCTGAGGCTCCAGCTCCAAACGTGCAATTCTTCTCGACGAGGTGGGTGGCTTTTGGGGTATGTGTAGGTCCGACAAATGGCCAGGCGATCACCGGGTCCTGGAACTGCTTCTTCCAGAACAATTTCGCATCGGACTCGCTGATGGTGGAACAGTAGGAAACAAAGTCCTTGAACTGGGCACGAGGTTTTGGCGACCGATGTTGCATTATACCAATGATATCGGTCAACATTGCTGCTGCAGTCCATCGATCGAAGACGGCATGGTGGATTGTCAACACCAACTTTCTACCAACTAGAGCGGATCGAAAGAGCGGATCAGCCAATTGCATCGGGTACGCCCTCTGTTCGCGAAGAATTTCCTCCCATTCGTGGTCGTTGTAGGCCTCGGGGTAACGAACTGTGTTGTGGCTTTCGTGAAGTACCACCTGCAGTAGTCCATAGCGACACTCGACGATTCTTGTGCGTAGCACATCATTCTTGGCCACAACTCGTTGCAGAGCATCACAGAAGGAATCCAGATCTACCGAGGCTCCCAAAGCTACTGCAAATTGGAGACCACTGCTGTGTCTGTCGCTTGTCTGATCGTTTTTGGATGTTGCCGCCATGGATGTGACCTGCAGAGATGTTGGTGCATAAACGTCTTTGATGTTTTCCGATGGTACATTGCAGGCCTCGGCGATCTCGTTCAGCGTCGTCTGGTCAATGTCGTCCAGCGACATTATTACAGAAGACATCGTAGTAACGACGCACTGCCTGTGGATGGGCTTCTGGATGGTGGTGTCCGGCTTCACTACTAAAGTCTTGCTTCGACAACCCTCCCAATTTGCGTTGAACACTCAACTGGCGATAATGTCGATTTTGGCAGAAAGCAGTAAGTGTGCGGTTGGGGGAGGAAGTCAGCAACGAAATAATCTCGATCAACTTCGCTACTCATTCGCGGTTGGCAAAACCTCAATATGGGTAGTCGTCGAAAGACCACAGGCCGTAGCTACGTCGAGTCGTCCTCCAATCACAAGCTCCGTCAACAGAACCTGACCGAAGCCTCACCCCGAGAGTTTGCAGGGATGCAAAACGTAGTACTGCTTGCCGTTTCACATAGTATGCAGATCTCGATGGAGCTGATAGAGATTCCCACATGACTCGTGGTCTTTGGGGGACCTCGCATCTTCGCGGACGGACCCCCGAGCCACGAGGTACAGACTGCAGAGATGCTCGACTCGGCATGACGTGAGTTCACGGGGTATAGGGGTCATTCCAACCGACCTGACCACCAGTCAGGGGTTTGCGGTACTATGTACCGTTTCGACCTCAAACAACTTGTTGCAGGGCTGTGTGCTTCGGTCTTGCGTTTTTCCCCGTCAACGAAGGTGTCTCTAGAGTCGGTTTTAGGGCTATTTGCCACATTGCTTCGCCAATGCTTACAGTGAAAGCGTCCAAGAATAAGGTCCCCCGTCTGTGATTCATTCGGCAGGCAAACCAAGAACCATTCCCCAGTCGCCATATCGGTAACACGAACCAGTAACGTTAGCTCTCCACGAAATCGTAGGCCACTTACCGCACCGCTCCGCCCACACGATCAAAACAGTGGTCGAGGAATTTGTTCAATCAGCCCGTGCAGTCTTGACCTTTGCCACGTTCATTGGAGCTCATACCTGTGCGAGCTCCGATGGATGACTCCTCGGCGGGAAAGACCGTGCAAGATAGAGACCAGGCTCAAGTCGACAATGATACCCTTGCTCCCAAATATGCTCGGAAGTCTCTACGACGATCTTTCCAGCTGTCTCTCACCTTGGATGCATTCGCGGATAATGCACTTCAGGCATTGAGAGAAGTACGCACCCCGGAACCATTCATCCTCGGCTCGCAGGAAGATGCTTCCAGTGAATCTACGGAGCGAATTCATCGCATCAAGGCCGCAGATTCTGACGGATCGGAAGTTGAAAAGAGGGCAAGCCAGGCCAGCCAGCAACAAGATGAGGCTTGGGACCACGATCAAGCGAATCCGCAGAATTGGCCAGTCCGAAAGAAGTGGAGAGTCGTCCTGGTGGCAAGCTGGATATCCTTCATCACGTAAGTGCCATCATCGACCGCGACATGCAGGCCAAGTTTTCGCTAACGACATGCCCGCCAACAAAGACCCCTGGCGTCCACGATGGTCAGTCCAGCTTTGCCTGAAATCGCTCAAGGGCTGAGGATCGAATCACACAAGATCACCGCCCTCATCGTCAGCCTAGACATCCTTGGCTTTGCAGTCAGTGGTGTGCTCTCAGCGCCTCTGAGCGAGATGTACGGCCGTCGACCACTCTACAATCTATCCACCGTGTGCTTCGCAGCGTTGACCCTAGGATGCGGCTTTGCTCCCAACATCGCCGTTCTCCTTGCATTGAGATTCATTCATGGAGCTCTAGGAACTGCTTGTATGGTCATTGGCGGAGCCACATGTGCCGATGTGTTTGATCCAATGCAGAGGGCACAGGCGGTGGCTGTGTGGGCCTCTGTGATATTGCTCGGACCCAACGTGGGTCCTATAATCGGGGGAATCGTGGTACAAGCGAAAGGCTGGCGCTGGATATTTTACATCTTCGCCATGGCAGGTGCTGTGAACGTGGTGTTGTCTCTGCTTCTCATGCCGGAGACTGCTGCAGTCGTCCTCAAGCAGCGCAGGATCGCAAGACTCAAAGCAGACATCGATACGGCCGACCGCAGCTCACGGAACGGAACATCACTACGAGCCCTCGCACGGCCACTTAAGCTGCTGTTCTTCTCCCCCGTGGTATTGATCATGGCCATCTACTCCGCCATTACTCATGCCGTCGTCTACCTTTTGTTCACCTCCATCCCCTTCACTTTCAGCCCGCAGTATCATTTCTCACCGCGGACAACTGGCCTGACATACCTCGCACCAGGCTTGGGCATGATGTTTGGAGCTTTCGCTGGAGGTTTTCTCAGTGGCCGAACTGCAAAGCTGACAATGGCGGACGGTACACATTCGCCAGAGAAGCGACTGGACTCTGCCATCACAGTCCCAGGAAGTTTGTGCATGGTAGCAGGTCTACTTCTCTACGGCTGGAGTGTGAATTTCCATATCCACTACATGTCCGCGCTCGCCGGACTGCTAATGTATGGCTTTGGTCTTGCATTCACGGGAACCTGCGCGCAGACATATGTGGTTGAGTGCCATTTGGAACACTCTGCTAGCGTGACCGCTGCGTTCACGGTTCTGACATCCATCTTGTCCGGAATTCTTCCAATGACCGGATTAGAAATATTTTCTTCCCTCGGAATGGGATGGGGCAATGTTCTGTTGGCCGGGGTTGTTGCAATCTCAAGCTCCGCATTCCTGATATGTCGCACGAAAGGCGCATACCTGAGAGATAGATACAGAGTTCGATTATGAGTCGCCACGGAACTTGTTTCCGTCATATATATGAAGCAAGGGCCGAGATACTCAATTCAATCTTGGGCATGATGGTTTTTAATGTCGCTCGTAGGTGTCAAGGGCCGGCCCATAGCTCATAGGTGTCCAATCCTATCGCGGACTGGCCATTTGTAGCGGCTGGCTTAACAGGTATCGGCGCCATAGTGTTCGCTCCGGCGTGCTGAATCATCCAATTCTTTTCACAAGTACTCGATTGGGCGAAAATCGGGGGACGCTAGATGTAGTATGTGTTTGTTCTGCTACAAGTAGTCATTTGGCAGGAACATAGATAGTACGCCGAGAATGATGTCATGGGCTTAGGGGCTTAGGGCTAGGGTTGGGGTAGTCGAATAAGAGCAACGATGGCGATATCTCACCAACGTCGGCATCTTCCAAATTCTCAAGCTCCAAAACTTGAATCCTTGTATGCGGAGTATGATTAAAGTCATGGTGAAATCAATTTCGCTGAGTTTTCAAGATATTTGCTAGATTTCTCGGCGAATACACACATCTGCAGCAGCTTCAAACCGTACAACGGGCAAGTTTCTCGCCAGTCTCTCTTCGGAATATCAATGTCGGCGGAAGCCCGCCGCACTAGCGTAGTCTCACGTATCCTACGTAGGGTAGAGTGTTCGTTGATTACGTATCCCATGCGATCCTTACGCCACCTCTACAGCCGACATGAATTCTTCGTCTCCGTCTTGCATCCGGGTACTGGGACAGCGACTCAACTTTCGCCAATTCGCAACAGTCGGGGTTTCTGCAAAATCTGGAAGTTCATTCACTGTTCGGCGCACGGGAAAGAGTTAATCCGAGCGATGCACTCCCTGTAGACTAGGACCGGCGACTAGAGATCACACTACATACTTGCCAAACTCGGAATAATACACGTATTCGACTCCCTGCAAGCTTGGAACACATTGAGATAGCTTGTTTCTGTGGTCTGACATTGTGGTAAATCGAAAAGACCGTGAGATCTTTCCAGCCAGCTCCAGAAGGTCCATCTATTCATGTCATTTTCAAGACCAATCCCCATCCAACGCCTCTTCAATAGACATGCCAGCCGCGATATCCCTCTGGACCTCCTCAATAGTCCACGGACGAAACACATGACCCGGAGGAAAATTGGTATTCTCAAATTTAGTCTTCCCACCACTTTCCACATGTCGCAAAACCTCCTCGAACTTCTCATGAGCGTAGGCCTCGGGATCATGCGACCAGATCCACTTTGGAAACCTCGTCCGTATGGATTTGGGATTCTTGGCAATTGCGTCCCAATTCGTAGCATGTTTGATTTGAGAATTCACAAATGCCATCTTTTGAGCGCATGATACTCGTTGGTATCGTAGCTTGTTGTACGCTTTCGTGGAGTTGGGAATATTGGCTCTACCGCCCAGCTGAAGACAAGTCGCCATTGTGATCGCATCTTCGATTGCCTGGGATGCTCCATTGCCGGATTGTGGGAGAAAGGTGTGTGCGCTGTCACCGACTTGGACTACATGGCCGCCAGGGGATACCCAGGATTCGAATAGGTCTCGCCACATCTGTAGCAGCTTAGCTGAAATGTTCGGTTGGAAATGATGACTGTACTTACCAGTTTCCAGTGGATAATAGTACCCGTTGGTACTGTACGCATGATGGCAAACACCGCGGGGTGCCATCCTGGCGCCTCCCGTTCCATTACACGAGCCAACTCGTCTGGTTCAACATGTGGATTCCATGACTCTGAGGAAGAGCCGTCGTCCTGCGCATAGTTGATTAGCTCCTCATGGCAGGAAAACTGTCGTGACGAGCGAGCATACCTTGTGAGTCAGCCCTATACAGATGATATCTTTCATAATAGCAATGACCACATGTATACCAGGAMCAAGCCAGAACTCCCATGATGGGTGCTTCTCCTGTAGTTGATGTCCCCATTGCTTCATCACAACTGGATCCTTGAAGGCCACTTCAGTGGGAAATGCAATTCGATAGACCGCGGATCCGCTCGGCTTAGCAGGGAGATCATGGCCGTGAATCAAGGCGTTTGCTCTAGTCTTCGTTCCATCGGCAGCAATCACCACATCCGCCTCAAATTTTCTCCCATCCTCGCATACAACTCCGCCGTGCCCGTTTGCTGTGTTGTCACTCGAGTCGCTAGCCGGGGTCTCGTAGAACTCCACAACTTTCACACCCCATTCAATTTCAATACCACATCGCTCTGCCTGCTCTACAAGAGCACGGTAGAATTTCACTCGACTCTGCATGAAACCAACATGAGGTCCTTTGCGGCCAACGAGATTCTCGGGATCGTTGAAGACGGGCGGCACTGGACCGTAGACGTGCTCGCCTGTATGACGGTAATAAGATATGTGGCAGTCATACTGCTCTGCTTCGACTTGAGCGCAAAGCCGTGGCCAGTGGCGGAATCCCAAAAGAGCTGAGGGTTGAATGGTAAGATTGTCTCCTGAAGATCAAAGGTCAGTCCGGTTTCAGAAACGTGTCCTTCTGATACTTACCGGTATACACTGGTGCTTCGCTCCTCTCAATGACTTTGACGGCGTGGCCTTTCCGATAACATTCTAGAGCGGACATAATACCACCGAGCCCAGCGCCGACAACGAGTACAGAAATTCCTGTCTCGGCGTCCCGCTGAACCTCCTGCGTTGTGGCATTGTGTGCTTCCACGTCGACCGCCGAGACGTCTGCGGTGCCATTTAAGCCTTGGATCTTATTGCTTTCGGTATTGATATCACTCATAGTGTCGAAAGTCTTCGTCCTGTTGAAAAGTGAACCAAATGAACGATTCTGGACTTGAAGCTACGTGCAAGATAAGAAGGCTTCTTCATATGCAACAATGAGCATTTGTGATAAACCCTGCATCCTAGGGGATTCTTTCGGAGTTTTGTGTGCGAATTCCGGGGTGTGGCGTGACTCCCACGRATCCCGGACTGGCAACAATACATCCTTGTATATACCGAACATCCTAGGAGCCTATCCAGGGATGAAGGTAACGCCGGTTCTGGTGAGGGTTTAGAGTCCAACAAAAGTGCCATAGAGCACAAGGCGCGGTTTCAGTGTTTAAAGACTCTTCCATCGCTGCGACTACTTCATAACGGAGAGGAGACGTACATTGCATGTGCAAATACGTCAGAGCATTCTGCTGGTTCGTTACACCACGTACAATGTTTGTAAGTGTAGTATACGCTTGCGAGGCATCGCGCGATGACAATGAGATATTCAAACCTCGTTGAGCAACTATGAAACAAGCGAGCAACACCAAAGATCATGTCGGGTCGGGTTACCGTGGAGCACGATTGTGAATGCAGACAGATTAGAAGATTTTGATGTCTAAGTCCGGTAGCTTCCCGTTAATTCCGGACAAACTCAATCCCGAGCGCCGAAGTGAATGAAAATCCCCAATTGAAAGCGATCAATACCATCCGTTCGTCGAACATGTCCTCGCTGCACGAACTAACAGCTTATATGTATGAATTACTATGCTTATAACCGGAAGAAAAGATGGTAATCTCAAACGGGAAGCACAAAGAGTAGMCTCAACTGCTCGATCTCTATTTCGCACTCTTTCTCTGTCTCCTTCTTAGACCGATGTACGAAAGTAGATGTGGTGAGAGGTTTACGTAATTCACCGGATAAGTGTTCCGAGCCCTATACCTGCCTAATTTAATACCTGACTTTTCCTTTCGTATAGCGGTCTAAGGAATAACCGTAGGATTCGGATAATATTAGCCTGTCGAAATATTAACATTAACACTACACCGTATATATATATATATATATATAAGGACGGTATCTTATAGTGCGCGCTATTCTGCGTTTAATAGTCCACTTTTCGTACGAATGCGACGTCTAATTATTATAAAATTAATTGTTTGTAAAATCTATTCTATATATAGCTAGCTAGCTATATACAGCCGCCTATATTACTAAAAACTAATACCGTAATATCGAGTGCGCGATAGTTAGAGCTTAGTAATATAAGCCTTACGATTATTTCTTATATAAGGAGTCCTTAATAGCATAAATGCGTACCGTACTTCTAGACTAGTATAGCTAGAGGATAGTAAGGTTAATACCTTAGATCTCCGGTTTCGACATAGGAGCTGTCTTAGATTAGCTATATAAGTAGGTCTATTACTAATTATAAGTCTATATTAGTAACGGCTAATATTATGTTAGTTTATTTCGAAATCTAATAAATCGTATAGGCGAAAGTAGCTCCTTTCTCGCCTAGACATATAGTAGCAACATCTAGAAGCATCGCTTTATATTCTACTACTTTACGTAGCTATCGGTCCTTAACGTAGACTATTAGTTATTCGAAGTAAGTACTAGATGTCTTATCTCTACGGGTAGATATAGGATATAGGATGCCGTAAAACGTACTACGGACGGACGTCGTACTTATTCTATCTCTCGTAATAGATAATGTCTTATAACCCTACCTCCCTATAGTACGAGCCGGGCGTTATTAGAAAGTCGAGCCCTAGTAGCTTATTACCCCTAAGCTTATATTTACTTACTAGAGCAATTATCTCCGGCTTCCGTAACTTACTATCCGTATACTTCTCTTTATTTCTTTAAACGCTAACTTCTCTCTCGTCTACTCTTTCTCTCTTAACTACCGCCTACCGCCTACCGCCTATTACCTACTACCTACTACCTACCGTACTCCGGCTCTCTATAGCTATAGAGTCTAACGAACTCCCTATAGGTAACTAGCCTCCGACTAATAACGCGCGCGCTCTATTCGGCGGATTCTTTAGTAGTAAACTCTCGGAACTCCTAAGTAACGAGCTAATCGAGTAGTTCGGTAGGATAATAAGTAACGCTAACGAGCTACTATAATAAGACGAATAATATACTAGTCGAGGTCGGCGTCGGGCCTAGAGAGCCTACTAACTTAAGTAGTAGCGAGATATAGGAGATTAGTAGTATAGTAACGATAACCCGGACTAGTTCTCTTCTAAGTCCGACTCTAGCGAGGAAGAAGATAAGGATAATATTAGAGATAGTAATAAGAAGGATAAAGATAAAGAGAACGAGGAGAATAAAGAGGATAAAGAGGATAATAATACCCTATAGCCCGGTAGCGATAGAGACGGAGAGGACTCGACTCTAGCGAACAACTTTAAGGATGTTATAGCTGCTATTTCGAGCGCTAACTTAACGACTATTAAGGTTATTATACGATAGATTAGTTAACCTAGAAGCAAGACATTCCGTAGGCGTATCGCTATTATCTAGAAAGCATTACTAGAGGAGCGCTTAACGAGTAGACGTATCGTTCGTAAGGAGTTACGCGCGCTTATATTATTAGGATCTTTCTTTAGTCCGTACGATTTAGAGGACTACCTAGGGGAGTACGATCTTACTAAAATTAAGTGTATAATTTAAGAGATTGTACCTACTTAGGACAGCCTTCTTCGCGCGGCCCTTACTAATAAGAGAGTGCTAGAATACTAGCTCTCTATCTATTATATAGGCGACGCTAACCTCTCTAACGGGAAATAGTAGCGTATACGTAAGCAAGTTACTAGCATTACTACTATAGTCGCGCATTCGATCTCTCTAAAGGGCTCGGATTAATTCGTAAAGTATATAGGTATGTACTTATATACATCTAGAACTAAGCGTCGTATAATTAATGTGCTCGCTAGAATAGGCATCTCTAAGGGTTTCCGCACGATCTAGAAGGTAGTAAAGCGTAACGCAATAAAGTAGGAGAAGGCTACTACTACGTTAGCTAAGACTCCTTAATCGTATTTCTACGTAGATAACTATATACGTCTATAGAACAAGCGGGCTATATAGACCTTCGACACTACTATAGAGTAGAATATAATAACTAGTAACTATATCGCGTAGAACTTGTATATACCTAAAGGTAGGCTAAAAGCGAGCATACTAAGATTAGAAGTCCTACTAAATCCTTAGGCTATCTTCCGAAACATACTAAAAGATAAGTACCGGATCTATAACTCCCTTTACTTTATTAATTAGGCCTTAAACGTCGGGTATAAGGATTAACTAAAGGAGGTTTTCTAGGAATTCGACTTCGATTCCCGCTCCTTAAAGGGTATCGACTTAATAGGCGGAAAGCCTAACGAGCGCATTCCTTAGCTAGCGATTAAGGTATTAAACGTAGACCGTCTAGCTATCGTCTTTTTAATAGCTATCTCGATAAACGACGAGTCTTCGATTTAGGGGATAAAGGAGGTGTTAAGAGATATTCTAATTCGTAACTACGGGTTCTACGAGGTCGAATTCGATAGTAATAATCGTATCTATATCTTCGTTAGCGACTAGATAACGACTGCTCGTATTCGTAGTATTTACGCTAAGTATATCGAGGCTCTCCGATCGTAGGACCGTATAGATAGGATTATACTATCCCTAGCCTAGTTCTATATTAGCATAAATGCTATATACACTCTAATACGTATATACTATAACACGAATAGTAATAGTAAGCGACTCGCTAGAGCTACCCTGCTCGACGATATGTCCTTCTTTAGACTAGATAGGATTAGTAAAGAGTCGCTTAAGTACTTTAATGTTCTCTACCTCGTCTAACGATTATATTACTCTAGGATTACTACGATGTTTATACAGCTTTTAGTCGACTAGCGTCTCGTAAAGTATATAGAGGGAAGTAGTCGTATCGAAGCTGTTTAAGAAGCAGTCCGTAATCTTACTCCCTAGAAGTATCTCGAACTAGTATTCGTAATCTAAGAGCTCGTATTTACCGACTAGGCGTAGATTAGTAAGGACTAGGATCCGGCTTTTACAAACAGTTGCCGCCTATTAAAGTAGGTTAAGAATATTATAACTATTCGAGCTACTATTATAAAGATAGACGTTAGACAGCTACGTCGTATAGTTAATTACTTAATTCCTGCATTCCTTAGAGTAAAGTAGCTTAACTACGGTCGAGAGATAATTTAGTTAAGATCGCTACTCGATAGTAGGATTACAGATATTACGTTATAAGATAGCATCCTCGCTACTAGTATTATTAACCTATCTAGATAGGATAGAAAGGCTATAGGTTCGGATTAGCTAATTAAGGAACATAACCGAATCTTATCGGAGGATATAGCTAGTAAAGGCAACTCTACTTATAATGCCGTTACTACGACGGTTATAAGGGGACTTAATATAGTTCCGGGTCGTATTATATAGAACATAATAGAGACCGGTATAGGCGTAAAGCAGACAACGTATTATATAAAGAAGAGTGCTATAACCGAAGTATATTCTTATACGGAGAAGCTCTAGGGCGAGGGGCTAGCGAGGATTAATCTAGGAGTTAGCTAAGAAGGAGCTATAGGTCTATCGGATAATATCTAGAAGATTAGATATAGTATAGTTATTAAGGCTATAGAGACTACTAACGCCGCGAATAAGGCGAAAGTTAAGCGCTAGACTCGTAACTCTACTAAGTCGGCCGTAGAAGGAGGCGATATAATTAATAGTGCGGATGCCCGTAAGCATTAGTATTAGCGTAAAGATAACTTCTAGCCTAGTCTTAATTCCTTCGAGGATAAGGTTAAGATAGTAGATATAACTAGTACCGCGTAAGCGTAATAGCTCGCTTACGGGTAGCTAGATATACGAGCTCGAAAAGCATATAGCACTATAATTAAAACCTTCGCCTTAAAGCTCTCGATACTCTAGCCTACTATCTTCCTAACTTAGAGTGTTTACGCGACCGGACTTCTTACGCGGCTAGTTTG